CCGACTCGGCTGATGCACCTGGTGTATGTTATACAGGCCAAAATGTGTAGAACTGATGTTGGTTTATGGCTTTTTAGCAAAGGAAGTTATTAAGGGCTGCCCTATGCTGTAAAAAAACGTTCACCTTACTTTGTCGCTTTGATTTTATTTTGTGTGAAATCAGGTCAGGTTTAATGGACCAGGCCATTCTGGCTGCAGCAATATTGCTATCTGCAAAATTCACATGACCTTGTAGAAAATCAACCATATATACGGCAACTATTTAATGCTATAATATCTATCTGTTTCAACTGGGGCCTAATCCAGTTGGGATCAGGCGAGAGGCAGAGTAAAACCCTGGAGAAGTTGCCATACTTTCACAAAAAACATCTAACCTTTTGATTATTGTGAATTACTGATTTCATACACGTATATACAGTATGCCAGGTGCTATTAACGAGATGGGGTGAGGAGGTAGGAAGGGGCTTGGAGTAGAGCTGCTGCTCCTCCACTGAGAGCAATCAGCTGAGGTGGCCCATCTGTAGATACCTCCCTCTGGAGATGTTCCAGACATGTTTCCTCAGGAGGTAGACCAGAGCAAGCTGAACTGACCATATATCCTGCATCGCCTAGGAACACCTATGAAATAAAGGAGGAAAACATTTAAAAACAATGCAAATGAGAAACACTGAATCAGATTGAAGCTTGTTAGATATGTCAAACAGCTGATTCCTTCTTGTCTTGATGCAGCTTGCAACTAGGAGTTGTCTGTTTTACTTTATCAAGACATACCAAAGGTTTTGAAAAAAATTAGGCCTCCTTCACTTATGAAATCTTATATTTCCTACAGTTGAAAGTAATTTTAGATGCAAAAAGGGGGAAACTAAAATCACTTCTTCTCCCAGGTATCCATCTGCTGCATATTGCCCTTGAGAATTAATTAAGAAGGCTACAAATTATTTTTCCTTTGTGTAAAAGAACAATTATTTACCAGATTGGAAATATTTTTTCATCTGTTAGGCAGCTAACTCCAGGCTAGCTATTTATGAAATATTTTATTTACATTATTCCTGGTAATAAATGCCCAAAACCACCAATGAATTTAGAGGGGGTGCTTTAATAATTGCATAAATTTAAAAAAAATGGACAAACTACTTTGATATCTGTTGAAAAAGCTGTATATATTTTAAAGAAAGAGCAATTTAATTACATTTTAGGCCAAAAAAAGTCCCTGTTATATAATTTCAATGAGTTAAATGCTCATCCTCTTATTCATCATCATATTTAAATGTACAGCTAAAGTCTAGTCAGCTATAATATATATCCACCTTTTATCAAGATTAAATTCACTACTAACCACTAAAGCTCGATTCACTTGCTTAAGTTTAGTGGAGCTTATTTCTAATTTCAAAGATGGAGATAATAAGAGCCGACCTATAGTTGTCCTTGCCTGCTGTAATTTATCGTTTATTGTCTCTGGGAGGTAATATCCTGTTACTATGTGAGGGCTTTCACTGCTGCAGTGAATTGAGTCTCAAGGCAGCAGGATATGAGAAATGGCACCATGAAAGGAGTTGAAGAAGATAATATCAGATAAGTGGAGGAAAGAAGGGAAAGAGGGATTGGGAACCTGCTGTTTCAGGGATTTGAAGAAAAGAATTTAGTCAATGAAATATTTAAATTGCACCATTTGAACATATTTCATTCTTTCATTACTTTGTGTATTTATGCATTATGTCTTTGTTGCCTATTGTTTTCCTCTATGGTGCATACTTGTGTGTGTTTCTCTGTTTTTGGCTGATAAGTTTTTTTTTGTTCTACACTTTTTACCCTCCTGTATTCATGGAAGTAGTGATCTAATTAGATTTGATAGTTCTTTGTGCTTTGTTGGAGCCCTTTCTGCTAGAGAGCATAATGAATTCTCCTCTTCAATGGTCACATCTACGGGAGAAAAGAGGCCAGGGAGCTTGTAAAGTTAAAGATGTGATGGTAGAAGTGTTCAGATGGCGGAGGAGAGTTTCTATTTCAAGCTTAAGAAAACTAAGTTGTTGGAGAAAAAAAAAGTGCAGGCATGTGTGTAGGCTTGTGCTTCTTATATAATGTGTCTGAGAGGATGTGTTCCTTTTTGTCTCAGGGGAGATTAGACATTTAAGTGCTGTTTTGGACACAAATGCGGGGACCCAGACACATGCACTAACATGCTGCCATCTGGGAAAGTAACCCTTATCAAAAAGAAACTGAGAAACAGCGTTTCGTTGGGGTATGTGTGTGTAACTGTGGGAGGCAAGTGGCAGTAGCCTGTGGTTTGCAGTTATTTTCTAAGTGGAAAATATAACTCCTTTGTTTGTGTGTGGGTGAGACTGAAGCATTTAGAAGCATATGTGCACAAAAACAACAATTTTCTGAAAGTGATAATCTATTCGTTTTTGTCATGCACGTCCCAAACTTTCTGCTTCCTTGTGATGTAATTATAGGTTTGCCTTTTGATTCCAGCTTTGACGTGCCCCCTACCTCCCCTCTCGCTGGAGATTTTTCCACCTGCCCAGCTAAGGTGATCTAAAGTTAATTAGTTTTCCCTTCTCTCCCCCTGTGGCACATGGCAAGGTATTTGGCTCACTTAGCACAGGTTCTGAGACCTCCAAGGAGTTAATGCTTCACTTGATAATTGCGCTGCGGTTTCTGCAGGTATGCTCTTCTGGTTAAGATCAAATCTCCGGAGCCTCTGGGTCAGTGGTCCCACATGCTTTAAAAACTGTGGGAAATGATCTCTGAAGGTAGCGGAACGATCCCTGTGCTCCCAGATCAGGTGAATGATGATTCAGAGCTGATAAAACAACTCTCCAGACGTTTGAATGAAACTGTCATGTGGAACAGTAGGTCACTGAAGTAGCAGTCTTAATTATACCAGTTGACTGTGATCCAAAAAACCTTTGTCTGTCTAAATCTGTTGGAAAAGTCTATTACAGATGCAACAACCAGAGATTCAATGACTATTTTTAGTGTGTGAAATTTTGTTGTTTATTTATGGATAGACTGATATGAAATTTCTATTTTAAGAAGTTGAGAAAAGCTTACATTTGCAATAGAAGTAAAGAAAATACAAATCCATAGCATTCTGGTTGATGAGAAATCCATCTTTTTATCATTAATCATCTCTGCTGCAGATTATAGGATGGAGGGACAATTAAAACACAAATGGAAATATAGGATAAAGTAGGGAAATAAATCAGATTAATCAAAATTAATCGATCATTGAAACAATAGTAAACTAATATATTAATCGATTAATCGTTAACTGGAGTATAGAGACTAAAATGTGCCTTAAGCTGACAGAGTGACCCATTTAGGACAGTAATTATATCAAAATTGCAAAAAAAAAAAATTTCTAAACATTTTGCATTTAAGATAAAAATCTTTTTGATCTGCAAATCTGCTCTATCCAACTATCCTCAAGTAGAAAAGTTTTAGTTTCACCTGGTTTAATTTTGCAAAAAAGTCTACTATAAGGAACCTTTTGTTATCCGATTATTAATCGAAAAAATAATTGACAGATTAATCGATTCTCAAAATAATTGTTAGTTGCAGCCCTAAAATAAAGCAACTCAGTTTATATCCCAAGCAGATTTTTACATTGTCTTTACTCTTTTCCAAATGTTTACCTGACAACTGTGTCTGTCTCAATATACTAGAGGAAAAGGTTAACACTCTGACATATTAAACCACTCATTCATTAATTGTAATCATAAAAGAACCCTTGGCAGCTTTTTTGCAGTTGATTATTGGTTACAGATATTATGACCAGAGATGCCATAACTCTGTATACATGAGGCTCTGTGTGTGTGTGATGGAGATTTACACAGTTTTCATGTAAAATGGAATTAGACGATTGTTTTAAAACATACAATGTGATTATGAGGAGCTGGTCAGTGGACAGTGGGTAGCACTGCTGCCTTTCACCAAGAAGGTTCCGGGTTCGATTCTTCGATTCTTTCTGCATGGAGTTTGCATGCTCTCCCTGAGCATACGTGGGTTCTCTCCGGGTACTCCGGCTTCCTCCCAAAGTCCAAAAACATGACAGTTAGGTTAATTGGCTTCCCTACAGTAAATTCTCCTTAGGTGCGAGTGTGTGCGTAAATGGTTGTTTGTCCTGTTTGTCTCTGTGTTGCCCTGCGATGGACTGGCGACCTGTCCACTGTGCCTATCTCCCGTAGACAGCTGGAGGAAGGCACCAGCGACCCCTTTGGGATACCTGTGACGAAAAATGGATGGATGATTAAGAGAATTGAAGAGAATTCAAAATACTCATAAAAACAGTGATAAAAATAACTAGTTGAGTCAGCATAATGAACATCCTTAAATACTGTATGCATTAACTTCCAATTACAAGGCACTTCCTTTAGCTGAATTTGCAAAATATGACAAAAATCTGGGCTCTTTGACTTGATAAAGCAAAGCAACCCACTATGATATGCTAAAGTTCCCTTTGGTTTTAGCTATGCCTCACTGGAAAAAGAACAATCTAGAAATAAGTAAAAGACATTTTTATTAAGTGTATTTACCTTTAATTTGAGTAGGGAAATGAGAGAGTTTGCCAATTGAAGGAGCATTTTTACTCTTAAAATAAGATAATTAGATAATATGTACTTGAAATAAGACAATGCAATTGTGTTATCTTATTTTAAGTGTAAATTGTCTCTTTCCATTGGCAAGAGGTCTCTTTTACCTCCTCAGTCCAAGAAAATATGCACTTATTCTAAGGAAAAATTACTTATTTAGATTTCCATTTTTCCATTGCTCTTTCAGACTAGCTGTATTACCCAACAAAGACATAACTGAAAATACAGTGTTTCCTCTAAAAGCAGATAATGAACTAGCTGATTATAGAATTCAGGGACTTTGAGTATTTTTTAACCCTGTACCTGCCACATTGGAGAGTGTACTGTTAGCATAACCAGGTAACAGTTATAAATGAAATTGATATGTCATATCTTTATTGTTATTTCTATATGTGTCTCTTTTAGCCATCATGTATGTTATGGGAGCACTGGGTCCTGCAGCAGGCTACTTGCTGGGAGGCGTCCTTATTGGCTTCTATGTTGACCCGAAAACTGTGGTGAACATTGACCAGAATGACCCTCGCTTCGTTGGCAATTGGTAAACATGCATTTACACTCGAAAGCTGCCACTCTGGATTTAAACACACTGCAATGAAAAACTGTTCACCTTTTGTATCCCATCTTATTTCCTCTAAGGTGGAGCGGCTTCCTCCTCTGTTCCATAGCCATGCTTCTTGTCATTTTCCCCATGTTCGCCTTCCCCAAAAAGCTGCCTCCACGCCACAAGAAGAGAAAAAAGAAGAAAATGATGAACTCGCCAGGTGATGCGTCCAGTGATGATGATGTGATGAAGGAAAAGTCCAGTAGCAAAAGCCAAAATGTGTCCTCCTCTATGGGATTTGGAAAAGAAATCAAAGGTGAGGAAACTCTGAAGTTCTGGAATGTTAGTAGGATCTTACTTATAGTAGAGATGTAGATACACACAGGTTCTTAGACAATTTCAGGCTGTACACATATCACTGTCCTGTCTATCATCTGAAAATGGAAACACTTTGGTTTATGCGCAAACCTACCAAGACATATTTTAAAGGTGTGAGCAAGTAGAACAATCAGAAAAGCTCCTAAGAACCCTGGAAGAGCTGCAGGAATTCTCACTTCAGGTGGGAAAATCTATGAACAATTATCATTCCCACACCCAGCTAATTTAGTTTTATTAAAAACGCTGCCTTGATGTCAAATGTAAATCTTTTTGCTCTCACATAAAATTCTCTTTAAAGTAGACAACTACCCCAACATACAGTCCCACAGTGAAGCATTTTGGTGGCAGCATGAATAGACTTGCAGGAAAAGGTTAATGTTCTTCACCAAACAACACAATGACCCTAAACATAGTTAGATTAAGGCATTCATTTGATATAATGGTTTAATCAGCTTTAAGGCTGATTAAAACTAGGAATATGTGGCAATGTTGAAAAAATAATGTTTATTCAAAATGAAAACGGAAATGTCAGAAAGCACGTGTAAAGCTGGTAACAGGAGACACCAAAGAACTGCAGCTGAAATGACAGTTAAATGAATTGGGCCCAGAGAGACAAATAATAAAACTATCAGGGTCTTTCAGACTTTTTGTCTGCAACCAATATATAAAACCATGCATCCTTTTAGTTCCACTTCTCAATAAAACATTAAATTTTTGGTCTATCACTTAGAATCCTATCAAATTACATAAAAAATCTGTAGCTGAAGCATGAACTGTTTAAAAGTTCAGGACTCCTGACTTTGTGCCATAAATGAACTGTTAGGTGTTGATGAACAAACAGGCTATAATCCAATCAATGTTGGGGCTTAGACATCTTATCCAATAATGGAAGCTTTATTGAGATCTCTCGTAAAGATTGTATTGATCGACAATAGAGGACTGTGTAAACGGGATGTGTCAGAATGCAGTGGTGGTAAACACTGGGTTTTCTTGAAAATGTTTCTTTGAATGTCCCCATCCAGCCAGGAAACACCCGGTTTTCCCCAGATAAGCTCCGTCCTGCTCAAGTGTTTCCCAGATTCCTTTCTCATTTTTTGCTCTTGTTCGGTTTCTCTTTTAAATGAGCTCCCTTAGGACTTACACTCAGCAGTACATAGGCTCTGATGGAGCTCAGCGCTCGTGTTTGCCATCACTCGCAGCAATTCTTTGCAAACTCAAACATGTACTTAGTATAGCTCCTTACTCTCAAATTAATGCTTATGTGCACAGCTGGGGCAGTCAAAACAGCGCTTTGTCTTGGTGCTGCACCCAGCGTAGGCCGGGGACGAGTCACAGCTCCACCACGCCGCCTTTCACTCAGTTGTGGATTCATTTGCCTCAGCAGGATGTTTGGCGATGCTGTGCAAACTGCGATCAGTTTCGCACACTCCGGCAGATCCCAAATGTATTTTAGTACAGTACGTGTCCTTCTGTTGAGGTGTGCTTGTTTGTTTGTTGCACAAATTCAGCATTTTCTGAGAAATATATGCCCCCCACCCCCCTTTTCTTCGCCCTTCACTTCACAAGCAAACACTGAAAATATGCTAACACCAAATGTTTTCTATAATGCACATGAGAGGGACAAATTCTTGATGGTGGAATTTTCCAGCCCTTGATCTGCTGCTATGTGAAAGCAATTTTCCCTTGAAAGGTTTGCGATGCATGGCAGAAATGACTGCTGACACAGTGCATCATATCCAGGTTTCACTAAGTGATTAATTACCTCACGGCTTCGTTCAGAAATGCAACGCCACTCTTTCAGCTGCTACATTAGCCCGCTAGATATAGTTGTCGTCGTTTTTATAAGAAGAGCTGGACTCTCAGAGTTTCTGTTCAGTCTGGAAAAGTCTAGAATTTGACTTTTTTCAGTTCTAGATGAGTATGGAAAAATAAAAGTCCAGCAAATTTTAATATTTCCAGAGTTTAAGACCTAAAGGCTGTGTATCAATCTTCTCATCCATCCCTCTCTCAACATTCCTTCCTTCCTCACTCTTTGTTTTTCCCTGCTGCCTACCACCTTCTCTGTTTAATTCCTGTATCTGTGCTTTATTCCTTTCTTTGTATGTATTTCTATACTTTGTTGTCCATTTTTGTCTGGTTTCTGTTCTTTGACTTTTCCTTTCTTCTGTCGTTTTTCTTTCTTTAATCTTTTTTTCTCATTTAATCCCGTATTTGTCAAAATGTTTTAAATTTGTTCATTTTCTCTCATCTATCCTGCAGCACTTTCCTTTCTTTCTCTTATTCTTTGTTTCCTTGCTTTCTCACTCATCCTTCATTTCTTGTACCCTTCATTCTCTCTTTCTCTGACATTTCATGCTTTTCCATTAAATCCATCCTGGTTTATCAAACATAAGAAAAAACAGGTTAAAATTCAGTGTTAAATCCCTGTTTCAGTAATTACAGCATCAACACAATAAGATAAGATGTATGAATAAATTATGTATGTGCTGTTTTTGAATGAACAATCTCTACTTAATTTAAGTGCAGTTTTCCCTCAGCACATTTTACATAACCAGATCATTCTGTCTTTACCAAACTTTATATTTTTATTGATGACATATTCCCCCTTCCAGTGAGGACAGTGGGGCGTTTTCTTCACAGGATAAAATTCACGAAGCTTCACAAACGTAAGGATGTTTCCCAACAAATACGGGTGTAGATCCAGGATCATTTACTTCTTTCTGCTATGTTTTTGCAGAGGTGTGTAGTATTGAACTGCTACTTGTATAATGTAATTTAAACAGGCAAATACTTTTGGCGGAGCGCTTTGCAAAACTTTTCAGGAAGATAGATATGCCAGTAGGTTTACAGTTATTCCAGACTCAGTTTCCATATTCAGATGATAGTTTTAATGATGCTCTGAGATAATTAGGTGTTATTTTAAAACCCAGCTCTGCTTTACATTTCTCTACAACTTACTGCCTGATCTGATTACCTGGTGTATATATACAGTTGTTTACATATCATTCCATTAAAGACAGAGAAGAATCAGCTTCCAATAAAATAAATTGAAATTGACAAAAGTAATGATAAATAAAAAAAAAATGAAAAATTTAAATCATGGCATTGATTTTGGATATGTGTATGTATGTATATACGTATATATATATATATATATATATATATATATATATGTGTATATATATATATATATATGTATGTGTGTGTATATGTATATATACTGTTTATATTTGTGTCTATGTATATGTGTATATGTGTTGATTGATTATGACAAACATATATATACATATATGTTTGTCATAATCAATCTGTTGTTCATAAGTTATAGAGTATAACTTATGTTCTGCATCAATTATGTTTTCTGTTGCTTCTATGCCTGTTTAAATCAGAGGAGAGATGACTCATGTGTAGGTGTCCCCTGCATGATGCTGATAAAGGTAGATTAGGTCATTCACATAAAAAACTATGTGACATTTTCCTTTGACTTCACAATAGCTGTGTTGCTTAGCCACATGGATTTCCAATATTACATATACAGACAAGTTAAGAAGTAAGGATTATGAATACTCTTGGATAGCTATCTCTCTTTTCTTTAAGTTTAAAGAAAGTGTCTGAAGACAACTTCTAGCATCCAAACAGATGAAAAGGGAGAACCCATTTTTTCCCTTTATACACTGGAATGAATTGATGTGTTCTACTCCTGTTTATCCTTCGTTAGTCATCCATGAAACCAATTCTGATCCAAACTAATGAGACATGGCTGAATGCATTTTCTGAATAAAGGAAAAAATACACACGTTTTTTTTTTTTTTTTAAAGACCATTGTTTTGATTATGTAAGTTCTGTCAATGTTACAGAGGTAAAAAAAAAAATTCCAACTCCTTGTCCTTATCCAGCTGTTTTTAATGGTTTTAAGGAGAGGATAAGGAAAACTCGCTGACTCTGCTTAATTAGTGTCTGAAGCTAACAAGGTACTTTTTCTTCTCTTGCGTTTCACCTCCAGACCTTCCCAAAGCTGCTCTGAGAATCCTCAGCAACATGACCTTTCTGTTCGTCAGCTTGTCCTACACAGCAGAGTGTGCCATCGTCACGGCCTTTATTACCTTCATCCCCAAATTTATCGAGTCGCAGTTTGGCATTCCCGCCTCCAGTGCCAGCATCTACACAGGTATTTCAAAATGTCTTCTGTTTATTTTGTTCCTTTTTTACAGTGAAACATCACAGAGTCGACCTTTTGCACTGCCTTCAGTTTTCACATAGCATGTGGGGTGGAGTATGGAAACATAAAAATTGGTCTAATCCCTCAGCTGAGCTGGCGTTGCGAATACACAAATAATCTGCATGCTGGATTATTACAGTAAGGACTGATTGGAAACTTAATTATGGCTTTAAAGCAAAAAAAAGTCAGTGGTTCTCTGTTTGTGTGGGTCCAGGCATTCTGGTTGACTTAAGGCAGCTTTAACACAGACAGAGAGCTACACACAATACGTCTGCTTCAATTCATCTGACTGTTGCCAGGATACATAGGGTAAGGGTAACTGGGTGTAGAGGTTGCTATGACTACCCAAACGCTGCCAAGCTGCTGGGATGCTATGATAGTTGGAGATAAGAAGATGGAAGAGGCCATTCTGTTAATGGTAGAATTGGACATCCGCTGAAACCCAGGTGTTAAGATGCTGAGATGATGGGAACCAGCTTTTATTGCCGTCCATATTTGCTTTAAATTCAATTCAGTCAAATCTGAATTAAAGGCTTATAATGATGGTGCAGTGTATAATCCAGATTTAACGTTTTCAAGAACTGAAAACCAAAAAATAGCAAAACACTTACTGAAGCTTTTAGCAGTTCTCTGTTAATATGTGGATGTCTTTTATAGTTAGTATCTGATGTTTTGATAAGGATTTTGTTATAGTCAGGGCTCCAAATAGTTATTGGCCAGGATCATCGAAGAATGGGGACCTGAAGGGGTAAAGATGGAAATATTAAAATTCAAACTACAAATGCTTAGTTATTTAAACATCAAACCAAAAGAATCAAATCTGGATTATTTAAATTAAACTAGTAATTTAAACCATTGGGAACCTCTATCAAAAGAAAAACAATCTTCCATACACTGCAAAAATGATCTAGAAATAAGTGAAAATGTCTTAAATTAAGTGAATTTACTCTTAATTTAAAGCAGGAAAATAAGATCGTTTTCCAACGGAATGAGTATTTTTACTCTTAGAATAAGTTTATTAGATAATATGCACTTGTAATAAGACAAGGCCGTTCTTTTTCTTATTTTAAGTGGAAATTGTCTCGTTTCATTGGCAAAATGTCTCACTTACCCCCTCAATTCAAGAAAAAATGGACTTATTTTAAGAAAAAATGACAGTGATATAAAAAGAAAAAAATCTACTGAGAAGAACAACAAACATGTCCCCACTGGCATCACAGGTTTGTTTCCGGCAGAGGAATCCAACTAGCAAGAAATCGACACCAAATATGCAACCTTTACTCTGTCTTTAAAGTCATTATTAACCCAGGTGAACATAGAAGTATAACTTATAGAAAGCTGTGGTTACCGTACATCTGACAAACACAGAGGTGAATGCAGTATGATGTGGGAATTCCTTACTGCTTCAGAACCTGTAATTCTCACAGCTCTTTAGCCACAAAAACAATTACTGAAATGTAACATTCAAAACATGCTCTCCGTGGCTGGAAAGCCCAACTGCTACTCTTTTCTGATAGTTAAGCTGACTTTGCAATGTTTTTTTTATTTTATTTTTTTTGTACTCTTTGTGTGTGAAATACTTGTCTGGTCATGAGGTTGAGAATATTTGTAATGCAAACACTATCACATATTTAAAAGATCAGTTGAAACAAACAAACAAAACAAAAATAAACAGTTCTGTTACATTAATGTCAGCAAATCTTTTAATCCAGATAAAATGCCTAAGACCCTGATGCAGTATGTTATGCTACATAGGACAGCTTGTGGGTGTGTGTATGGGCTTTGCAGTACATGTTACTGTAAATATGTGAGCCTACAGTGTGAATGTGTATTCCTGCAGAAAGCAGATGGTTTTAGCACAGAAACATGCACTTTACAGGATGATAACTCACCCCAATCCGTTGACTGGCTGTCACTGAGCATGCTCCTTCTTTGTCTCCTCTCCTCTCACACACACACCGACTAAAGGGAGCAGCCAGATGACATTTCTTTGTACCCTTAAAACGTCTCTGCTGATATTTTGTCTGAGAGGACCTCTTACTCTGACCGACCCAGTTTCCGTGTCCTCTGTGAGAAAGCCTGTGGCCTCACTTGAAGGCTGGAATTCCTGCATGATGGCATTTAATGCTCCCTGCATCTTCCTAGTAGTGTTGCTTTTCTCTTGCTGTCGCTTTGCCTGGCTTTAGTTGCCTTAAAGCGCATGTCACAGCCTAAAATAGCTCACTGACATCCTACAGTTTTCCAGTAACACTGGTTCTGTTCACTCATTCATAGTTTAACAGGGGGTTACATTTCTATTTCAAGCAAACATTTTGCCACAGCACTGTTTTATGTCAAAGACTCACATGGTAAAATACTGCTGGTATTAAGCTCAAAGCTTCACAGTCATTATCTCAATCGTAATATTTCCTGCAACCCTTTCCACCATCTCATGGCTTGCATCCACTCTCTGATGTCTGGCAGGTTTAATTATCGTGCCTAGCGCCGGCGTGGGCATCGTCCTGGGAGGTTACATCATCAAGAAGCTGAAGCTGGGCGCGAGGGAGTCGGCAAAGCTGGCCATGATCTGCAGCGGAGTGTCCCTGCTCTGCTTCTCAACGCTGTTCATCGTAGGCTGTGAGAGCATCAATTTAGGAGGCATTAACATCCCCTACACCAATGGGTGAGGGAACACTCAGCATCCCTAATACTGGTCTATGCCCTGCAGAACAGATATGCACCCCTTGAAATTTGTGCAGTTTGTGTTTTTAATCACACAATCTTCTTTTCTCCCTTCTGTAAAAGAAAAATCAGTCATATATTGGTAATAAAATTTGATATTTTATTTTTAAAATTAAGGTAAAGAAGTGATATTTGGAAAAACATCCCAACATATTGTGGTAAATTACATGATTAAACTTCAAACACATAAGGTGCACAAATTCAGGGATAGCTCCAGGTTCTGTGTGAAATAAACAGTGTGAATCATGTCATCAATGTGATGCATATGAGGATGAATCAGTGGAAGGTGTGGGCTCGTGATGCTGCCGCCGTACCATCATCCTCATGTGTTATGGCATTGTGTTTGCAGTGTTAATGAATAATTAGAAACACTTGCATCTGCTCTCGTGTCTCGATGAATCACTTTGTCACCTCTATTTCTGAACGCGCTGTTGGCGGCAGAACTAACGGCAGCTATGCAGTGTGTCAGCCCCGGAGCAGAGAAACATGGAGGCACTTTTCACTTCCTGACCTTGAATCTGAAAGAATACATGGAGAAATTAATACATGGAGATTTTTTTTTTTTGAATCATCACCCATCACTTTTAGTCTCCACTATGATATTATCCCAAATGTTGGAAGGAGGCAAAAAGCTACAAGGCTTTCATTCCAGCATTACCAGATCAAAAAAAAAAGAAAATTCCATTTTTTTTTTTTTTTTACATCTTAATGAACAATTTCATGTGAAAGTTTTTCTAACCCTTCTCAGTAATAACTTAAAAAAAAACATTTGATTACCGTAAAGGCAGTCAAAGCCCAGATTTCTGGATGTCTGTTGGTAATGAGCTCCAACACTTTAGGTTGGTGGCCCTCATTGCCAATCTGTGGCTCCCTCTAAATATTCCCAAAACACACTATAGTCAGGACTCTGGCTAGATCACACTAATTGATTAATATGACTTCCAGCTGAAGAAATACAATAATATAAAAAAGATTATATGCGACTTAATTTTGCCAGATTCATAAATAATTCTTTACTATACTATAGGGTTGTCAAAAGTATCGATACTCAAAAAAGTATCGATGCTGAAACGTTGTATCCGGATACAATAATCATTTTCATAAGTAACGATACAGCCATCTAAAGTGCAGAATAGTGGAAAATGCACTTTCTGAACACTGTGTGATTGAATAATTCTGTGCATTTTTTAGTTTCAGACTTTTTTGTAACAGGTGCAGCTGCTGAGAATTATTTTTGTTTAACTGGTTTGGCTAGTGTCATTGTTATGTCTGCCAAGGAAGGAACACTTAATTTTAATTTTGTTTTTTATCAAGCTTGCTTAATATTGTGTTATTAAAAATGCTAATTAACTAGAAAGCAACTGTGAATCCATTCAAAGGGTGTATTTTCTGTGGGTCGGTTCGCTCAAAGCTGTCGGCGTCCCTTATTATTAGCAGCGCTGGTCAGTAGTCGTGAGTAAAACAGATGGAAGGGATATTTCAGCAAATGTCCCCTTTGTTTCTGAGCTGGAGTCCAGACATGGCTCTGCTTCGCTTACAGGCTGATGAAAAATGGCAGAGCCAAAAGGCATGTAGGGTTACATAACGTCCTTAAACAGTTGTTTTCATGCAGTGTGCAACGTCCACAGCAGCAGGATATGGTTATGTGTTAATAGTCCTATGAAAAGCTGTAACAGACTATAGGTATGTTTATTAGACCTTTGCTGCTGGAAGACGAGTTCCATTCTTTCTTCGCTGCCTGTGGTAGTTCAGAAAGATGGAGAGCTGCTCTCCTGACTCCCTCTCACCTCTGCATTATTTAGCAGTTTTTACTTTGTGGATTTTTGGATTGGTACCTAGATCCCTTTTTATTATGTATGTTATTGCTTTTACTTACCTGCATCTCATTTTAATGTATCTACTAAGTCATGTCTATGCTGGTTTCCAGTTTTTACTAACTTTAGCTGTCTAATTTTATTTTTTTAACCCCAAGTTTTACTTTTTTCCATAAACTTTAGTTATTTTGTATCATGTCTTTCATTTTATTTTTTTTACACAATATTTTTTTTTACTACTTCAGTTATTTTAAGTTTTAGGTATTTATACACTACAAATATGATCTAAAAAATAAGTGAAAATGTCTTAAATTAAGTGAATTTACTCTTAATGTAAAGCAGGAAAATAAGATCGTATGCCAATAGAATGAGTATTTTTATTCTTAGAATAAGTTAAGTAGATAATATGCACTTGAAATAAGACAATGCTGTTCTTTTTTTTCTTATTTTAAGTGGAAATTATCTTGTTTCATTAGCAAAATGTCTCACTTACCCCCTCAATTAAAGAAAAAAATGACTTATTTTAAGAAAAAAATTACTTAATTAGATTTACATTATTTTGCAGTGTGTGCTAGATGCTTCATACTTGAGCATTTAGAACAAAATATGTTTTCTATAGTTGGATGTATTTTCTTGTTACTTTAGACTTTTTCTTTTTTTGTTACTCCAAATCTTACTTTTTAAAAATAAATCTATTTTTGTTCTAGGTATTTATTATGTAGATGATTCTTACTTGAACTGTTTAAAATATTTTGTCGGTTCTGATTTGTAGTGTAACAAATATTTTTTCTTTAGATGTCTTTTTTATACGTTATTTTTACGTGAATAATTTGATTTTGTTTTTTCAATGTCCACATTGTCAATTCACATATTTGCTGTTTTACTTCCGGGTCTATGTATTTAAATTTCAAATTATTTCATTTTTTTAAATTCCCTTTTCACTTTATTGCTTTTCTTCTTTTTTTTTTATTATGTAGTTTGGACATTTTTTTAGTTGTTTTAACGTATTACTCGCTTAATTAATTTCTCAGTGCTTATTTTTGTAATTTTAGCCGTTGCTTCTTGAATCAGCGACTTTTCAATGTTTTTTATCACCTCAAAACTGTTACAAATTTTTTCAGCTCTTTTCAGAGAATAATTTAGATTACTTAGCAACCTGATATCAAGGCTGTTCTCTGCATAACTATTTCTTTTAACATTTCTGTACTTAAATCAGATGTTAGATTTCTGCTTTTTTTATATCTTTTGAGGATTTAAAAGAGGCGATATACTTATTTCAGATGCAACAAAAAGTAAAATGTTCTTATTCAAGTGGATTTCTTGTCTTGTCTAAAAATATTACTTGTAATGACCAAAAATATTGCAACGTATTCATTTAATTTAGCAGCATATGAGGTGTTAGAAACATCATTTTAATATAATAGGTTTAGAAGTTTTCCTTTTTGTTCTCATCAGCTATTGTGTTGTTAAGATCTGTCCTGGCCTGTTCCGCATTGCCCAGCATGAAGCTTACCAAAGAAAACCAGGGCTTCGCTTCGCTGCGTCTGGTTTGGACTAAGCCAACGTCCTGTTTCAGTTAAAGGATCTGTTCACACAGTGTCCTCAGAGCTGGACAGCATATTTCACCTTGTTGATCCGTCTGCTCTGCTTTTCAAACAGGAGCTGGAAAAGAGAGAACTTAGTGAACTTAACGGATTAAACAGCTTTTCAGCTGTAATATGTTTAGGTTTTCTGCTTCTCTCTTGATGTTTCACACCTTGAATGAATGTCCAGATATGCAAAAAAACAAAAAAATAACACAGTTAACAGTTATTTTAAATGGCTTCTGATATCAATGTGCTTTAAAAAATACACTGACATAAAAAAAAAACTCTTTTTTACTGACAAAGTATGATCTAAATTTACACTACACTTTCATAGTTCTGTGGTGCAATTATCATACCAACCATTTAAAGCACTGATTACTAATTAATAACCAAAATATGCAGGTAGAAAGGCCACTTGACCAAGGGCACATGGACTCGTAGAAGGGATTAGAAGCTGAAATCAAACTGTTTTTCCACTTTGTAGCAGCATCAATGCTGAAGACTGTTGTCAGCCTATGGTAGGGCTTTGCGTGTGGCGTTCACTGTTCACGTTATCCGTTTTTTTGAGATGTAGATAAAATCTCTACTGAATAACTGAAGATTTCTACCTGAAAATGGAATTTCCTGTTAAACAGAAAGATTTAAAAAATAAATCATCCTTTTTGCTAAAATCCAAAATATAAATACAAACCAGCCAGGATTGATGTCTACCCCACTAATGTTTTTCATACCATCAGTACCATAAACGATCTCTGCTTCCGATCCTGTGAGTATAAGTTGTTCTCTCCGTTTGTCTCTGCAGTCCTACGCTGACCATGACCCACAGGAACCTGACAGGCAGTTGCAATGTAAACTGTGGCTGCAAAATCCATGAGTACGCACCGGTCTGTGGCTCCGACGGCATCACCTATTTCAACCCCTGCCTGGCCGGATGCAGCACCGTCGGCAATGACAGCACTGGGGTGAGGGCCTACACATTTTTACATCTCATACCCATAAAAAAGGGATGCTTTCTTTTTTTAACGCTTAGGCCAACAGTAGCCTCCCCCTGTATGAGAGTGAGAACCAAAACATCCTATTGTCTGACCACAGATCAGGAACTACACAGACTGCGGCTGCGTTCAGAGCCGGCAGGTCATCACTCCGTCGAATGGTGGCCAGGTCAACCAGCTCCAGCTGGTGATCGTCAAAACGTACCTGAACGAGAACGGCTACGCACTTTCCGGGAAGTGTGATCGGACCTGTAACACACTCATCCCCTTCCTCATCTTTCTCTTTATTGTCACACTCATTACCGCGTGTGCCCAACCCTCAGCCATCATAGTGACGCTCAGGTGAGATGCCGTCTCTGGCGGCGGTTCTTTGATCATCTGGGATACAACTTCCTGTCTTTATATCCTGTCGATCTTTCCTGCAGGTCTGTTGATGAACAGGAGAGGCCTTTTGCTCTCGGGATGCAGTTTGTTTTGCTCCGAACTCTTGGTATGTAACCAACACCTCTGTTATTTCCCACCTCACACTAATAGCACATTTTAGGGAAAAAATGTTTTCCTACTAATTAGATCGAAATGGCCCTCAGAGCTGCTTTAGGTGGTTATAAAAACATTTTGTTAACACATTTTTTCTCTGACTACCATTCTGCAATGTTAGAGAGCAGGAATGCAGCTTTCGACTGAATGTCTCTTAACTTGTGTTGGTAGATGTATAAAAGCCCCCTGGGGGTGGCAGTTATGTTGCAGCATGTCTCTGATCAGCTTTGTATAACCATGTGAATATAAAAGCTGCCACATCTTGTCATAAACCTGTTTTCATGTCATAAACCTCTGCACGTTATGAGTACAGATGGGGGGGAACAGCCTTACAAGACATTTTAGATGAGCTAATGCAATTAACAGGAAGTATTCTGGCAATAAGAATCTAGTTTACCTTATTTTTTTTCTGAACCATCAGATTTAATCCTATTTCATTGCAGCAATATTATTACAAATTATAATATTTACAGATATCTGAGTACACTTTGTCAGAGAAAAAAAATCTGCCTAAATGTCAATAGCATTTTATAAGGTCAGAACATACAAAGGGAAGAATCTTTGACCTTTCCTCTTTGCTCACTATTTGTTGAAAATTCAGTCCTCTCTCTTCTCTTCAGCTCATCCACAGGATTTGGGTCTAAAGGCTTAGATGGCAATTGATCAAATTTAAGCTTGTGCCCAATGGACCTCACCTTTATCTATTTGGACCTAAACCCGGGATCTTTTTTTAACTGAAAGTCCTACTTTATTTTAATTTAATCTCCTGGTATTCTTAAGACTTCCTGAAGAAATACTTTCCAACAATTCTTTCCAAACCCACAGCATGACAGTACTTTACTGTACTTTTTCACAAAGAGTTGGTTTTCCAAATATTCATCCTTAAATATTCATCCGAAAAACCCACCTGGGATCTATTTAATAAACCATATGATAGGATCCATACTAGAGCTGCATGTATGCTCTAAAACAAAAAATAGTGTACATTAAAAAAAAGCTTGCACACACACACATGCGCATACTCGTTCTGCCATCGTAGTGAGGACCATGTGTTGACTCCCATTGATTTTCAGTAATTTTCCACCCTTTCTATGCCATAATCCTAAAACTAACCCTAAACCTAACAATTACTAATGCATACCTCACCCTAACCAATTGACACCTTAGCCCTAAACCTAACCATTAGCAAAATAGCATGTGAGGACCGGTAAAATGTCCTCACTTTGCAAAAACTGATCCTCAATTTAATGGTGAAATTGGAAAAAATGGTCCTCACTCTGATGGCTAGACAGGTACACACACACCACCAAGCAGTTTCCTTTTATAAATCACAGGTGAATTTCATTATTTGTATCTGAGGTTCCTTCTGATATTCTGCTCTCAACACTTCAATATTCAACCATAAATGATAAATGCAAAGGACCTAACGAATGTTAATATGTTTAATCAGCGAGGTGATCATTGTTTGTTGGTGAGAAAACGTGCAAAAATTGTGCAGACTTTTATATGCTTATTATTGATGTAAAAGGTTCTTGTGTATACTTACTGCTAAAGTTCTCCAAGAGTAAGCCTAGATCAGAAGTCAAAAGAGACTCTGCAACATGTAAAGGGGGGAACAAAACAGAAAGACACCCATTACTTAAAAGAAGTTCATCTTAACCCCGAGCAAAAATCTAACTTAAATTATTAAAATATAAATCAATTTGATTCCTGTAAAATTTATAAAAAATATTTCCTTAACTAAAAAAGTAAATGTACTTATTCAAAGTTACATTATTTTTACTTGAATATACTGAGGTGATCAAAGATACATTTAAGGCTTTATATCATTAGAAAGGACTGTCAGGGTGTGACTTCAGGTAAGCTAAATGGTGCCACCTTGTGGTTGAAATAATACTGCATGAGTAAATTTGGTAACTTTAATAAAGGGCTGCAAGATATTCGTACATAAAATTGTAATTGAATTACTTTAAATTGTTATGGTTATTTGCTTTTTCAACAAAAAAAATCAGAGTTTTAGCTTTTCAGCCTTCGACTTGTCTGCATAAAATACATTTTGAGTTAAGTTTACGAAACAGTGATGAATGGCCACACAGATGGTCAGCTGATGGAATATAATCTTGCAGATGCATTTTGGAAAAAAGTGTTTATGTAAGAAAGAAAAGCTTTATTTGACTACTTTTAAGTATATTTTTTTCAGGTTTCAGTTATTAATCCATGATTCTCCTTCCTCAGCCTATATACCCACGCCCATCTACTTCGGCGCCGTGATCGACACCACCTGCATGCTTTGGCAGCAGGACTGTGGCGTGCATGGCTCCTGCTGGGAGTACGACGTCACCTCGTTTCGTTTCGTCTACTTCGGCNCAAGCAGTTTCCTTTTATAAATCACAGGTGAATTTCATTATTTGTATCTGAGGTTCCTTCTGATATTCTGCTCTCAACACTTCAATATTCAACCATAAATGATAAATGCAAAGGACCTAACGAATGTTAATATGTTTAATCAGCGAGGTGATCATTGTTTGTTGGTGACAAAATGTGTAAAAATTGTGCAGACTTTTATATGCTTATTATTGATGTAAAAGGTTCTTGTGTATACTTACTGCTAAAGTTCTCCAAGAGTAAGCCTAGATCAGAAGTCAAAAGAGACTCTGCAACATGTAAAGGGGGGAACAAAACAGAAAGACACCCATTACTTAAAAGAAGTTCATCTTAACCCCGAGCAAAAATCTAACTTAAATTATTAAAATATAAATCAATTTGATTCCTGTAAAATTTATAAAAAATATTTCCTTAACTAAAAAAGTAAATGTACTTATTCAAAGTTACATTATTTTTACTTGAATATACTGAGGTGATCAAAGATACATTTAAGGCTTTATATCATTAGAAAGGACTGTCAGGGTGTGACTTCAGGTAAGCTAAATGGTGCCACCTTGTGGTTGAAATAATACTGCATGAGTAAATTTGGTAACTTTAATAAAGGGCTGCAAGATATTAGTACATAAAATTGTAATTGAATTACTTTAAATTGTTATGGTTATTTGCTTTTTCAACAAAAAAAATCAGAGTTTTAGCTTTTCAGCCTTCGACTTGTCTGCATAAAATACATTTTGAGTTAAGTTTACGAAACAGTGATGAATGGCCACACAGATGGTCAGCTGATGGAATATAATCTTGCAGATGCATTTTGGAAAAAAGTGTTTATGTAAGAAAGAAAAGCTTTATTTGACTACTTTTAAGTATATTTTTTTCAGGTTTCAGTTATTAATCCATGATTCTCCTTCCTCAGCCTATATACCCACGCCCATCTACTTCGGCGCCGTGATCGACACCACCTGCATGCTGTGGCAGCAGGACTGTGGCGTGCATGGCTCCTGCTGGGAGTACGACGTCACCTCGTTTCGTTTCGTCTACTTCGGCCTGGCCGCCAGCCTGAAGTTTGTCGGCTTCATCTTCATCTTTCTCACCTGGTACTCGATCAAGCACAAAGAGGCGCAGGCCGAGCGCTGGCGCCAGCACCTGCCTCCTCTGGGTACAGTCAGTGAGCTCGTCTGTCACGCCGGCGGCCGGAAGAGCCATGCCCGTACCCGCTCCTGCCCAGTGTTCATCCCGCCCCGGCCTGACATGCCGGCGGCGATGCTGCTCGACCGTGGCCACAGCAGCCTAAGCTGCCCTGGTAACGGCCTCAAAGCAATACCTCCTGCTGTCTTACTACCACGCCACCACAGAGGCTCGGCCCATGTCTGAGAAAGGGGAGGTACGTTGCGACGTGTGCCTTCCTATTTGTGTCTCTGCACAACATGGCGTCTACTTTACAAAGCACCGACAAGTGTACCCACCGTACCTAAAGGGCTGGTCATAGATTCATGATAACCTCAGCATATCATCATCTGCAGCCACAACGGATGGACGATGTAAGAACATTAAACTGGTGCTACAGACAAAACAATGTCTGTATAGGCACAAGAGTCATCAACACTGCGTCTAAAGCACAACACACTGTACTATGCAAAAAGCAGCATCCTGTTCCTTTCCTCTCAATCCTACTTTACAAAAACCTTCATTTTACTACCAGAGCTGTTTCCTCTGTCTTGTCTAAGGGGGATTACACATCTACAGTTATATTGGAATTAGGATTTGTATTTCTGTTCACAATTCTTTATTTTTTGTTAGTTATTTCCCGTAACAGTGCCTCTAAGGCTGTTTAAGCCAGTCCAGGTCACATGTCTGGCTGTCAGGGTCAATGTTGGCTGCAGAAAAAAAATGTAATATTGTCTTTGCCAACTAAACCATGTTTGTCACTAAATTATATAATCTCAGCAGAAAACTAAAGGAACAAAAAAACATCTAAAAACGTGCTGAAGCTACTGAAAATCCTAAAGATGTGAAGATGGGTTTAAAAAAAAAAAAAATTGGCATTACTTTTTTGGCTTTGTACTTATACTCATCCATTCCAGCAGTCATCAGATGTACAGATTTAGCTGTGTAGACTTTTACAGATTTAGTGCAGAAGAGCATGGCTAAAAATCCAGATAGGGAAAAGGAGTCTGTTGTTGTTTGGTGCCATCTAGTGGACAAAATGAGTTTTGCGAAGAGCTATTGAGGGGGAAAAAGTGTTCAGATCTTCAGTATGTTCAGGAATTCATGATTGCCAAAATAATAATATTAAAAAAAAAGCTTGTCTCTAAACCTAGCTGTCTAGAAAACAATAGATGTGATTTTTTAATTCAAAGGTAAAATGGATTAATGCGAGTCTTTTCTGATAGTTTGGTTCAAGCTGGCCCAGGAACTTTTCACACTTTACAACAAATTTTTGTTGTTGAGTTTTATGTAACAGAGCAATGCAAAGAACTGCATACATTTGAATTAGACAGTAGTGGTTTTAATTTTTAATTTTTTTTAAACAAATGTAAATGAAATATATGCAGATTATTTACTGCAATCGTCCAAAATTAAACAAGTACAAATCTAGTTGCTTCTTGAAGAAAATTGTTTGGGAATATAAGTGAACAAAGTAGATAATGAAGACTTTTATGATTGTGTACAGACCTTTGGTGCTGTCCGGTGTTTAAAGTGCTTCATAAATAAAGTTTGTATGGTATGGTACAGCAGGAGGCAGGTCAGGTTTAAGGTTAAAGAGAGCACAGTTTAATTTGCCATTTGAAACAGCAAAGAGGCACAGCTGCAAACCTACTGAGGTCATTTACCTAAACTTACAGGCTGGCTAAAAAGACAGCACCAGTCAGAAGAATCCATACATGTAAAACCTGACATTTAGAGAAAAACTACACATGATCCTAATAGAAAATCCCTGTGGTTGAACATGGTGATAGCAGCATAAGATATGGAACCTGGTCAGACATGACTGGGAGATGGATGGAGTGAAATTCAGGGCAATCTTGGGAAAAAAAAAAAAAAAGAATATTGTTGTAGAAAAGCTCAGGGTGGTTCAGGCTCAAGCAGGATGAAAACCTCAAACAGACAGAGGTACAGTAGAATCAAAGCAAATTCAGGAGTTGGAATCACATAGTAGCCAGACCTTACTGCAGCTTGTAAATAATCTCTGATCTTTTGGAACCGCTTAGTCAAATAAATCAGCAATTATACTTTTCTCTTTAAACAATTTGTCCTTTTCTAATTATGTGCTGATTTGTGCTGCTCTTTCACATAAAAACCTAAATAAAATAACCTAACCTGTCAAACGTGGGTTTTAACTGTCAACATATACGATAAGAAACTCTGTTCAGATCTATGAAAGAAAAGAAAGAAGTTTTCCTTTTTCGTTTCTGTTTAGCCAAAAGAAAAATTTAATTATTTTGAAAACCAGACTTATATTTTTTTCTTTTTTTGGAACGTACCAGGGTGTTTAAAAGCAATTATTGTATTTTCATAGTGTGTTCTCTAAGACAAAATAAGGATTTGACCAAAGCTCATGGTCTTGGTGTTTGTTTTATAAAAGGTTTAATGGAGGCTCATTTCAGTATTACTGTGGCGCAATTCCTTAATAGTATTTATGTGTGATCATTGTGTAAATAATAAAAAAAAACAATGCATATAATAGAGCTCACCTATAGCTAGATATGTATTAATAATCCATGACATTGTACCAACAAAGCCAAAAAAAAAAACAAAAGCTGAGAGACATTGAACAAAATCATCCAAATAAAGAAAAATATCAGAAAAGCTTGTCCTATATATCTATATAGATATATATGAAAGTAAAGACTGTCTACTGTTCCTCCAATCTCCAAATTTTCCTCCCAGGTAATGCAAACCTGGATTCACAACAATTCAGGAAAGAAGAGTAGAAAATCCTGCAGATGAGTTTGCAGAGGTCTGACTTCCAGAGACCACCTCCAGCTTCAGTGCCCTGCTCTCTGAACTAACATCTGGACTACCCACACAAGGCTTCATGCACACCCTGGAGTTTGGCTTTAATGCACCGTCCCTCTTTTCATCATTTGGACCAAAGGTTGAATTTTCTGAACAAAAACCTGAATCTGTTTTCTTTGCTCCCCCAGCAGCAGAAGTCTAATTGATGTTTGTGAACGCTTGGTTTACAAATGCCTTCAATACTTGATCATAGTCATTAAACTTGAGAACAAAAAGAATAAAGGTTTGTTTGAACTCAATATGTTGTGCAGCTCATAGAAAATGGACGAGTCAGTGTTTCAAATGATAACTGTTTATTTCGTCATCAGGTCATGGTTTTCCTGAAACCACACTTGGTAAAGAAGCAAAAGAAGGCAAAATGACATTTTGCAGAGTAAGATTTAAAGCTGAAATACATCTTGGACATTATTTAAAGGAGTTTGCAAAACTTTAGACTGAAACTACCGTCGTATAAAAGCGCACAGTTAAAAAAAAAAAAAAAAAAAGGTACAATTTAAACATTCCCCTTTGCACATATAAAGCAGCCTCAACATTTGTGTAATGTAGAAAAAAAAAAACTCTTCAATTCGAGTATATTTATTCAGTATGAAATGAATTTAAAGGTAATTATATATCAATTTAATGAAAGGTAGAGTGCATTAGACCAAATGTGGCACAGACCACTAAATGGGAATAGAAAACATGCAGGTAAAACTGAACTGGAAGGCAGGATATGGCCGCATGAAAATAGCTTCTTGGGCAAAACATGATCCTATACAGAGTAAGGATTTAGAAAATAAAAAGGGCTGCATGAAATTATCCTGCCAATAATAACAGGTAAAGAAAAAAGTTAAAACAAATGTGGCAAGAAGACTTTTAAAAACCACCATTATAAATGCTACTGGGATCTCAACTGGAGCGGCATGGTGATCAGATAAGATAAGGTTAGCTTTAGCAACATCTACGCATCCTGCTGCGTTTGGTTTCAACAAAAGCTAAATATATGTGGACCCACCCTACTAGTGTTAAGCACAGTGAAGGATCTGTGATGCTATGGACCCTTTTGCCTTTCCAAAGGCCCCAGGATCCTCTTCGGAGGGCAGAGAATCATGACCTTTAAATTTCAAGGCCATTTTAAGTGTAAATTTAGTGACCTCTGACAGAAAAGTGGGTCATTATAAGAGTTAAATTAAAACACACCAAAGTGAGCCGCTGGATCTTTATCATTTAAGGTTGAGATTCTGCTAATGCAACTAAATATTGATTTATTACCATTTATTTTAAAGTTTACCTACTAAACACCTTTTACAAAGAGTTACCAGTAAAGGTGTAGGGGGTTGTAGCCCTAGATGGTCAGAGATCTGAATCCTGCTCCACATTAGTAATTAGTGACATCTGGACCTCTTGGCGATCATGTAATCGATCATTGTTTTGTAATAAATCCGACTGGCAAGAAAAGGCATGAGGATCGTCAGAGTGCAAACCACAAAAAAAAAAAAAAGGAAAGTATCTGGGGTATTGGCACTATGATAATCTAAAATGAGTCGTTTCATGATTGTCTAAACTGAATTTACTGCCCTGCAGAAGGAGGGAAACGCCTACAGCAGACATCACATATCCACATTTTGTTGTTTTTCTGTCCAGTTTTGTTTTGATTCATAAACTCTGAGGGCATAATGGAAACAAATGTATATATTGATGAGGTGAGCCGTGATTTGGGCAAACAAAGATGTCAGAGAAGCCTGTGATTGGGCCAAAAGACCGCAGAGTTACTCTGTAATCATCCATTCAGCTGCTGAGATGGTTTCACCACCCACTGGATTTACAGAAACAAAACAAACAGAAAAATTAAATATCCATAAACAAAGTTCAGCCTTTCTGTTTGGAAATAACCAGCTTCAGTTTGGCTGCATTAAGGCTTTTATATATATTTATCATACACGCATTTATTAGTAACACTGTTGACTAATAAATGTTGACACCAGTAAAAAAATAACTTTACGTCTCGTCGTATAAATCTGACTTGACTGATGCAGACCGGCTTGGCTGTTCCTCCTGCACAGCTCATCTTCTAACTAGTGTCTGTAGTAGATCTCTGGCAGGTAGATTGGACCACCCGCCTGCCTCAGAGGGTCTTATTGGAGGTCTCGGTCACAGAGCCGCTGCCTTCATAGTCCAAGCTGAGGGGCAGAGGGGACTGGGGCAGGGCTTTGAGGACCACCCCGACTCTGTAGGCTGTGCTAGTCTGTGTGGGGGAGGTGGTTGCTGGGCTTTGTGTGGAGCTGCTCTGCACCTCTGGCCTCAGAGTCTGTGAGGACAGAGGGAGATAGCCTTGAGCCTGGAAAATGTCCTCGTCTTCAGGGTCCAGGCTGCGGCCTGGAACCTGCCGGCTGGGGTCTAACTGGGCACGGAGGCTGTTGTGCGTACGCATGAGAGTATCGTGTCGCGTCTCCAACTCGGTTGGTCCGTTCCCGCTAAACATTTCATCCTCCAGCTCCTCCAGCTGCTGCGTCCAGGTGTGACTCGGGTTGTCCTTGGCTCTGCGGGGAACCGACGACGACAAATCAGCCTCCCTGAGTCTGCTTACCAGGCTCTCAGGAAGGTCGTTCACAACAGATTCCAGTTTCCATTCTGGTTTTGAAGGTGCTGGCGGCTTTATGCTGGGATCGGGGGTGGCGAGTCGAGTCTCTGTAGCCAGAAATGACCAGATGTCGCCGGTGGAGGCCAGCTCTTCTCCGCTGGCCTCTTCAAGGCTTCCACCCCCGGCCCCAGAGCCCAGCTCCGGCAGGGTGGAGTCGTCAAGCTTTCGGGTTTGGTTGAATTGTTTCAAAACGTGTCGCAGTGCAAACATTTTATCAACATCCTTCTGGAAGTTGGCCCAGTTATCTGGGCTGGGTCTGTAGTCTGGCCTACATTCATACAGGCTTTCGTTTATGCTATACAAATCCTCCAGTTCCTGCCAGTTCACCTCCTCATCTGTCAAGTTGGGCAGCTTAACCCTGTCGTCCTTCCCATACTGGCTGTGTGCTGCTAAAATAAGAGCAGAGAGAAGACTTTCAGGAGCAGAAAAAAGGAGGTGCTCTTCTTTAAGTTTATGCAGACAGCATGCAGTCATGCCCAGCTTCTGGTTCTGACTACAGCAGCAAACAGTAAAGGGTTTGTGGCACCAAGCAGAAAGCTCATTTCCAAGCAGCACAAGCTTAAAACACCACTAACTCAGCTCAAGCCGCAAACATTGCAAACATGAAAGTCCAGATAAAAGATGTATTTAATAACCTAACACAGACTAAGCTCCACATTAAAAGCACTGCTTTAGACACACATAGACCCCTTTAACTGGTTTATATTTGTTCATGTTACATCCATGGAAAACGCCTCAATGGATTTTACTGGGATGTGACAGAGCAGAATAGAAGTAGCAGATAATGGTGAGATAGAAGGAAAAGGAGCATTTATTTAATTGATAGAAAAAGAAATCTTTAAAGTTTGCCAACCATTAGTATCCCCCTCCCCTTAACTCTGGTGCCTCTAAATAAAAACAAGTATAACCAGGTGTTTCAAATATGACCCTAAATATAAATGCATACATCCAATTGATATTTTGTTAAAGGATTTGAAAATACAAAAAGGCGATACGTCCAATTTGACTTGTCCTCTACCCAATGGATAGTCTCTAGACGTGCAAAACGGTAGATAGATGCCACTAGACTTTTAGTAGTAATTGCAGGAAAAGTGAATCTTCTGATTATCGACTCAAATGCAGTACATGAAACTTTGAAAAAAGAAAAATGCCTCATTTAGCTTCTACCTCAGTATTCACCCCTTTGTCTTGTTTTCTCAAATCCGAATAAAATATGTCGAATTCTGAGTTTTTGTAACATGACATAATGCCTAAAGGTTCAAGAGGCATGGATACCTCGGCACGGCACCGAATCTTACATCATAGCTAAAAAACAGGCCTGCATTAAAATGAGATATGAGGAGAGGATACCTGGAATAAAATCAGTTGTGAGAGAAGGAACACAAACTGCTGAGCAGTGTAATCCCAGTTAAGGAGATAAAGTAAAAAAAAGAAAAAAGGCCATAGAAGAAAAATAAATTTACAGCAAAAGCAAACTCTAAATGCAAATAGATTGGTGTACAAGCAAAGAAAAAAAAAAGGAATATCTGCATCATCAGCGCCCCTTTGAAACTGGCTTTCCTGTAACTACTGCAGGAAGAGATGGTTGGACATAAACTGAGGGACTCACATAAGAGAAAGGCTCGATCTCCTCTTTGACCATTTTCGATGCTGCTGTCGCCTGGTAAGCAGGTGTCAGAAGGGTCAAAAGGCAAAAAGGGTTCAATTCTAAAGTGACATTGAATTACGGCTGCTGTGGCTGTGAAGTTACTGGAGATGCACTGAGCAAAATTGTATGATAAAGTTACCGTATATAGAAGCTTTAACCTGCTGATACTATGGATCTACTTCTGATTTTATTTGAGGTATAACATTATCCAGCAAAGTAAAAGTACAATTACTTTTGAAACAGAAGTTCATGTTTGTATATTCCAGTAAATGAAGATTTCTGAAAGTTCGCGAAAAGTTTCAACACTTCTACTATGAATTGCTAAATAATCATTCGTTAAAGCCCTATTTAATTGTATTATATCCATCATTGAGTTTCATTGTGTTGCTGAATTATAACACCGCCAATACGATTGGTTTGATTTGGGCCGATTTGATTATACATACATGTTGTCTGCCATAATAAAAAAGATATAATGGTATCTAATTTGAACTTCCCTTTGCAACTATATAAAAACTGCTTAGAGTGGCTTTCCACAAGAGCTGGGAATTGTTTTTTTTTTTTGGAACATTTTCTAAACATGTCTATAAAAGTACCTTTCATGAGATCAGACTCAATCAGAAGTTTAGAACTCCTTGCAAGCCAGTCAAGCTCCTCCACACCAAAATCTTACATCCATGTCTTTAAGGATCCTGATTGATTTACTTTGGTCACATAAAAATGAAACATGAGGCTACCTTCACACACTGTTCCCACAGTAAATTGTCTTGGCATGTGAACGTATTACGAAGGATGAAGCATAGGTGCCAAACTGACTGATAAGTTGGATTGCCAGAAAGTATTCCAGTGTTGGAATCATTTAAACAAATTAAGTGTTTCGCTTTTTATTTAGTAATGTGTGACTTGGATGCAGCTGCCATGGAAACCCATTCTATGAAGCACCTTATGCCCTATTTTGGTGTAAATCTGCACACCAAGTAAAGTTTGAACGCGATTTGCTATTGACTCCTCAACCTCTGCACCTCAGCATCTGTTTTTAAATGTTCACGGCCTGCCAATTTGTGGCAGCCATAAAAGTGATTGAAATAGCTTGATTTTAGGATTAAAGTTTCACTTTAACCATTAAAAATGTCCAACCTGAAGCCTTCGTCATTCATAACCTCCCTACAGAAAAGGGTAGTCTATGTTACTTGGTGCAGTTTACAGAAGTTGCATTCATTGTTCAAAAAATTGGTCAATAGGCAAATTTTCAGTGCATCTTCAGATGTTACACAACCAAAGAATGGGGTGAAGCTTTCTTTACGTGGATATGGGTGAAAATGCATGAAATATGACGGCTTAGAAGAATAGTTTAACATTTTGGGTGCTGCACTGGTTTAACTGTCTGGGGATTGACATTCCTCTCATATCCAGTTATTTTGTAAAACACCAAAAGGAAAGTAGCAATAATGTCTCCAGTGCTTATTTCCCAAAGTGTCAACCTACTCCTACCTCTTAACATAAAGATGTATGAGGGAGTAACAGTGTCATGCACTCTACAGCTTTGGACGTTTGCTTTTCTATGACCATGCTATGCTATGAAAAGCTCGAACATGTTTTATACTTTGAAGCAAATGTGTAACAATATGAAACAGAGATGATCTTGCATGTCTCAGGTGGACTGCACATTGATGGCAGATGAAGATACATACAGACTGTGTGCTCAGAGGAAGACGGATTTAAGCTCTGTTACGATTTGTTAGCATGTTCCCAGCATGCAGCCACAGGTGAACCATCAGCCCCCCACGGATGGACATATTAGTGGGAATGAGGCAAATTCTGCCCATGCAGGTGTTAAAGGGGGGAGAAAAAAAAAAAAAAGCTGCTGAAGAGGAACAAAACTTTTTCGGGTACCTGTGTGGCTCATAGCTTCCTCCATCTTTACCTCCTGATTGGAAAAAAATAACAGCAATGGATTGTTAATGTCTTGATTCAAAGGGATGTAGGAGGGAAACATCAGTCACACTAAGGCTGTCCTTCATGCATCGCTGCTAAATACTACAGTGAAAAGCAAACACCGGATAACTAAGGGGAGAAAAAGAGAATTAGATGTGAAAAAAAGGAAAACATGGAGGCAAAGTTGGTATAAGGTAAACTGGATTTAAAAGGTGAAGAAATAAGAAACCAATAGAAAGATTTTGTAGGTCAGGTCACATTTTAGTCATTCATGTCCTGCCGAATTAATTCCCTCCAACAATAAACCTTTAATCATGTATTTCAGCAACAAAACCATCTGCAGATGTGACACCAGTCGGTTTACTGCTTTACAGAACAAGCGATTCATTCAAGGAATGGCAGCCAACTGGATTGAGAGCCTTCGGGCTATTTTTGACACGTGTTGGCGTGCTTTTCACAAGTCCAGCGTGCCAATAGTGAAACAAAAATCAAGTTTCTGGACCACATTTTGGCTGCTCTTTGACTGCATTCTGCAGCTGCTAATTACAGACTTGAAGGTTTTACCCTGTGGTCATAAACATCGTAGGCAGTAATGCCACACGCAAACACAGCAGGTTTACATCACTGTAACATTACGTAGCGTACACCTCCACCACAGAGATCGGTGACCCAGTGACAGTATGCATGCTAAAATCTTTAACACACACAGTGAGACAGGAAGAGACAAAGACAGCCAAAATGAACAGCCGTAAACTTAATCACAAACTGTTACTGCGTATATACATATATTATAGGGGGTGGGGACACTGCAGGAAAGATCCAGGGCTGAAAGAGAAGTTTTGGTGTAAGAGTGACTTAGATGTCAAATGCAAATCTCTGTGGCGAATTTGTGGCTTTCTCCTGAAATAGGTCACCTATCGTTAAATAGATCGTTTTTAAACACATGCAGCATGCAAGAATGTTCAAATGCACACCATATGAAATCAAAGGGACCCGTAACAGAAGGGTATGACCAAATAAATCGTATAACAGCTATCTGTTATTGCTGGTGGGGTAACAGCTACCACTACAGCCCCTCTATGAGTCCATTTATCTAAAAATCTCTGTATGCCCTCATAAACAACATGTATGACATGAACAAATTCATTTTCTTACCCGTATCCAAGCCTTTAGGTCGGGGATTGCACTGTTTGTGCCCTTGACAACTCCTCATCTCCATGAGTTGTGCGTGGAGTGTGTTCAGGACGTCCCGATCCACAGCGTACACCGCGTTGGTCAGCTGCAAAACAATTTTAATTGTGTCTATAAGCCTCTTTTTTTTTGGAACCAGCCAAAGCACAATATGACTTCATGACAATATAGCAATATAAAAAAACTTGCCTTAAAATGTATACAAAAAAACAACAACTACTCAGCCGTGTCAAGGTCTTCAAAGTAAGCAAACTCCTCGTTTATTTTAAGAGTGATTAAGCTTTTGAGATGAGCCATAACTAATCTAGTTTAAACCAATATATATTTTTTACCCTCTTGGAAATATATAAGTGAGCCAATCACAATGAATAAATAGACACACAGATTAAAGACGTATCTTTACCCACCTGGTATGGGTCACTGTTCAGATCAAAGTATTCCAGGAAGCCGGTGGAGAACTCGCAGAAGAGTGTGTTGTGGGTCTCGTTGATGGTTCTTAGGCACCAGTAGGTGTTGTTGTTGGAGCTGGTGCAAGCACAGAATCCACCCACTGCGAGATAATTAACACCATCATCATACTCAGGCTGGCAAGTTTCACCAGAACATAGGAAAAGTTAGATGCAGAATGAGTAAAAGCCATAAATGTGGTATAAATCTATACACACATGTCCAGAATGGAGCTGTCTGCCAGTGGTCATTGTTATGAGTAAAGCAAGTGAGGCCTGGCAGGCTGCAGTCGTCTCCCTTCCTCTGTCGCTTCTTCTCTTTCCTTTCCTTCTTCCTGCGTCTGATCTCGTTATACAGCTGGGCTTTCCCATCGGTGTCGTGTGTGGTCTCCCTGTTCAACATAACATGACATCATTTTTTAAAATTATGATGCAACCATGACTCCGACTCTAACCTCTGCTGGTGCCAGTAACCACAGTGATGGAAGATCCAGAGTGGACTTCCACGAGGCACAGCCTGTTTAGGCTTGTGTTTAAGTGCTCAGTTTAGCCAAGTCTGTCCAAAATGACATCCCATCATCCTTCCATCTCCTCCTCACCGCCTTACACAAAACAGACGCTGCTGGAAACAGCTGCTTAGTATCGGCGTAATCACCATCCAGGAGATTCGCTGTGAAAGTTGATCGCTCTGAAGGACAGACTGATTTCTCCTCCTTTGAATCATTTTATTTTTTCCATGCAACTCGATTCATCCCAGACACACTCAAACACAGACATACACAAATCTATCCACAGTAAAACATGCTTTGTGATTTAAATTCCATTCAGGGACCAAACTTTTAATAAACTTAAGAAAGAGGATGATGGTTCACAAACAGGAGAGTCATAAATTATATCAAATACAAACACACTGGATGAAGTCATCTACAACCTGGTAAAACAAGTTTCCCTTTTTGTTTTAATATCAACTGCAAACTAATAATTGAAACTCACTTGAATGGATGGAGCTGATCATTCCTGCCCTTCAGTCTTTCTCCCTTGTTTCTGATGCCTTTGTTAAATAAGCTGGATTTACAAGCAGAGGAGAGTAAGAACGTCAGAGAAAATGCACTCAGGTGGCACTAAAGATGAGGACTGCCTTAATTTACAGATTCAACAATATTAATATTTGCAACAGGTCATTTTTAAGCAAGATAAAATATTCCACAAACCTTTTTCCACAATCGCAATCATCTGGTCTTGTCCTTTTCAGATGGCCTCTGACTTCTCTAAGGTTCTTGATTTTGTCTTGAAGGGCTTCAATCTAAGAGGGGAAAAAAAGGTAACCAGTTTTTTTATACAGCCTGTCATTGCCGGTCGGTATGAGATAAAACAAACCCAAAAAAAAAGAGCTCACCTCCTGATCAATATAACTCTTATGATCTTTCCAGGCTCTGGAGGATTGGTAGATCTCCCTCTCACAGTGAACGCTGTCATTCATCAGGATGTAACATCTGAAAATGTGTCAACAACTGTATTAAAGCAAGTTACATCAATTTGAAATCCCCTAACAGTATAAACAAGGCTTACTTGTGGGTAACTTTCAAAGAGTTTGGGTATCCCACCGCATTGGTATCATCCGCCAGCATTTCCTCTGAACCGTCATCGGATCCAAATTCGTAATTGGGGTCCTCAGAGTCGTAGTGCCGCTTTGAGATGCTGCGGCGGCGTATGCCGGACTGGTCATCCGCTTGCAGGTCAATGTCGTATATCTGGCCCTCGAACTCCACAGACAGTGATCGAGCAGGCCGAGTGTGGACAAAGCGGGGGTGAAAACCTGACAAGAACCGAGAAATTGGAGTTAAGCCGGGACCCAGGGCAGCGGTCATCTTTAGCTCCAAACCTGTTATACCTCATCCATTGCAGCCTAAATCAAACTGCTTTACTTTGAGCATTCAATCTTTAAAACGGTTTTGGTTTTATTCGATTTTTGGAAACAAAAGTTTTTTTTTTCAGTTTGCAACAAGCATGGTTGTTTTTTTGTTTGTTTTTTTCTTCCATCAATGCTAAAATACATTTTTTTTTATTAATACATGAGTGTGCATTATCTGTATTAGAGGAACAAAAACGCAGTTTAGAGCTGAATATCTAGCTTTCTAATTAGAGCTGGTCAACGAATAAGTCTGTGTGTTTCTGAAGGCATTGTTCTGCTTTGAGAAAGCAAATGATAACCAACACCTGCAAACTGGGTGCTGTAAAGACACATTGTAAAGAGATCACAAAGTAGAACTTTATTAAAATAATTAGTAAGTTGAAAATGAGTAATTTAGACATAGCTTAGATTTTGTTCAAGGAACACTAGAGGGCACCATATCTATCAAATGCAATGTGCAGAACTTGCATGCAAAAGAACAAACCAGGCCCATAACGGGATGTTGGCCTCAGAAGCATCTGATTCATTTTAAAGCCCAAACAATCATTTTAAAAGCAAGAAAATTAAGTCCTGAATTTATAGAGTTTCGTTTCCAGATCTACTAAAGCAGTAATAACAGCGATTTAAGTGTAACAAAGAAGGTTAATTTCAATCTAAACTACTCAATTAAACATCCTTAATACATGTGCTTGATTATCAACATGATAATATGTCCCTTTGATTTATTCAAACTGGAGAAAAAGTATGTAATGCTTACGCTGTCCTGAAGAGAAGCGCCGTTGGGAACGCCGATCAGCCCTGGATGGTTTGTATAAAGGGTCGTCACAGTCGCACACCATTTCCCTGTTGTCGTAGCTGCTGGGAGGTCTCAGGCTGCGAACCCGCTTCCTGGATCCTTCCTTAGAGCCACCTTTACACTTCTGGATCCTCCACTTCCCCGTTATCTCCTCCACACAGTGCCATTTCTGTCAACATCCAAAGAGGAAAAACTCATTTAATACAATCCGTTTCACTTTTCATTGTAAAATTTCAGATTTTTAACAATCTGCAACAATTTAAGAGGGTTTTTGTATTCCTCTGTATTTGTTGATATTGGCATCCTTGTACCGTAACAAAGATAAACCAAGACCACCACATGAGATGAATTAGGCCTGTCTGGTGCCTGTTAGACAAAGAGGCAACCCCAATCACCCTGACACCGGCCGTGTCCGTGCGTCAGCTACGTAATTGTGTAAATAAACTCCCACACATTTGGCTACATCAGCTCCACCTTTACTAACACGCATTCCAGCCAGGAAATAAAGCTGTAAAGTGTGATTGCTGAAAGCACTCTTGGACCTTGGATAAAACTGGACCCAGACGTCTGTAGAGTGCAGCGCAGAGGATCTCTGTGTAGTGTGGGAACAAGGGCCTAAACAAAGACATGTAAGGTAGATCAGGTTTCTTCTGGAGGAGCTTACAGGGGGCCAGCGGAACGGTCATGTCAGAAAAGATGCGAGGGAGAAGCACGTAATGTTGCCAGGGGACGAAAACAATCCGTCTTTCTTTATCCGTCCCGCTGTGAGGGCTTTCACTGAGCAGGCTATGCAACATGTGCGTGTGTAGCAGCAGGCAAGCAGAAGATGAAGAGAAACGAAGGAGGACGAGAGCGAGTCCGATTTGCCGACAGAGTTAGTGACTTTTTGGCTTGCATCTAATGTTATTTTACAGCCATCTGGGTTTGCAATCCAAGATTTACTCCACAGGATGCTTCCTGGTTTTATTTTGTTTGGAACAGAAAGAATGATAATGCAACCTGAGGCGCGAGCGGCAAGCGGTGCGGTGACTCAAACCTGCCATTAACCTCTACAACACAGAAAAATTGAAAAAGGTTTATTACATACAGCTGAAATGTTGCACCCACACGCTCCAGAGCTCAGCCCTAGCTGCTCCATCACTGCCTTTATTAAGTGATTGTTACATACACACATTTATGTGGTCATAAAGCGGATCTGGTTCAAATTAGTTGGCTCCTCAGAAAGTCTGCCCGTCCTTTAAACAGTACCTGAAATTTGTAACAATTTGTATTTCTCTGGTCTGTCTGTTCCAGGGCCACTTACTGTACCATCTGGCTGCTTGGTCTGCCAGAAAATGAATGGCCACAAGATGAAAAGCAAGCCCCTACCAATTAATGGACCACAAAACGAAGCAAAACAGACCAATTATAAACAAGTGATGCACTTATTAGTAGCTGCTTCAAGAGGGGCCGGCAGATATTCACGGAAAGACAAAAAAAAAGGCCCATAAAGATTGAGAAAAAGGTCTCTGCTGGACAACAGTGGAGTTTCAAGTCTCTAAACCATTCTTTCTTATTATTTGTAGCAAGTTCTTGATGCATTGCTTCACCTGTCCTGGCTGCTCGCATGGCGTCTGGAGTTCAGCCAGCTGGCACGTTTCTCTGACCTTCTTGTATTTTGGGAGGCTGTTGGTGTGTTGAGTGCTCGTAGAGTCGTCCTTTTTCCGCAGCATCTTACTGTAAAAGAGAACCATAAAAGTGAGTACTGTCCAGGGTTTCTACAAATTTTCCATTTCCAAATTACATACATGTTCAGGCTAAGACAACTTCCACAGGTTTCTCAGTAGTCTGGACATTTTAGAACAGTAACCTATTTTGGGTTTGTTAACTACATGTTCCACAGATCAGGAGGAAACAAAGAGGTTTTCATCTGGTTGGACGGCAAGCTAAAGGAAATTTCTCTTTCAGTAGCCATCTGGCGCAACTCATATCCGCTCCATTTTAGAACTTACAACTATGAAGGTGTTCGAACCAAACAATGCACATTTTGTGTCTCGCTTCCCTCCCATTTGTCGCCTGACATCTTGCTTCTCTTGCAAAGAATTTGCAACATGGTGAAGTTTCACCCAGCTCACTTCTTCTATTGTTCTTCTTGGTAAGTTTACTGACCACAAATGACAGACCTCAGTTTACCAAGCAAGTCAAAATGCTCTACTTAACGGGGATCCATGAGATCCAGAGGTGCTCTCTGCTAAGTCAGGACCACCGCCTGCTCTAGAAACTGGAGCTCTGTGATGGTCGCTTCCAGCAGTACCTCTGCCTGTCCAGAGCTCAGTACGAGGACCTACTGTCCCTCATCGAAAGACATTTCACCCTCTGTTTTTATTGTCTCTGCTGTGCTCCTTCAAACTAAGTCAAAACCAGTTTCAGACTGATCTTTCTCAAGCAAACTGACTTGAGTTCAGATTGTTGATGTTGAGGGAATTTTCACTTCAGTCTACTGGCAAATTTACCCTACCATTTGCAGTTTTGCTTCACTGTATGAGCCCAGGTTCTGTCCTTCACATCTTAAACTTTTAATCTGCTTGTACCTTTAAATAGTGACAACATCTAAGCCACTTGCCCCATTCACATTATTCACAATTGGTGTGAAGGCACCTTAAGACTTGTCAAATCTAAAATGGGTGATGCAATCCTGCTTATACAAAGTTAGCTGAATGCAAGCTTCCCTTCTTTTTGCATCTTAAATCCAGCTTTAAAAAAAAATTAAATAACATATGAAAAGTTTCAGAGCCTTTTTGAAGGACTGAATTTAACAGAAATTCAGTCTTTTTAATCAAATGGCATTTGTTTTTAGGTTAAATTTAACTTTGCTAAAACCCTTTGGCCTGGAAAAAAAAGGAAAGTTACAATATGTTAAACTTCAAGGTTCAAGAAAGCTATTCAGTTTTCAATTCCTGCAAATGAGATCAACAGAGAAATTCATTGTTGCCAGAAGTTGTTCTTTTTAAGCTTAAAATAACCCCATAGCCTGACGAATAACTGGCTGGTAAGAAAACACTAAATCTAATCTCTTCCCAGGCACGGAATGCACCAAGCAAAAACAAGCTGTGCTGACAACAAAAAACATGTTGCTGCTGAAGTTTATAGAAGAACCATTTTCAATATTTACTAAAGTGTTACAAAAAAATGTTCCCGTGCCAGGAAATATTTACGTTTTATTCAAGCTGCTACAAATAAGCAAATCTTCCTGGAATTGATGGAAGATACAAGGAAGTCTGAACAGAACAAAGCACGATAGTAGTAATAATCAGAATAATAGCATTTAGAATAAAATCCAAGAAAACTACTTCCCATAACCATACTCATACTGACTTGGATATGATAAAAAGCTAATTCCACAGAGCATGCTTTAAAACTACTTCCCTCTTGAAAAAAATAAGATGCCTTGAATTTTGGAGCTTTTCAAAACTTTATAAGTTGAAGGGGTCTTAATACAACATCTGAACAATCTTGCCACTCTCTCTGCTTCTAGAGAGTAAAACACTCTTGACTCCATGTGCTAGAGAGTCTAGACTTGGGGATTAGGTCCACCTAAATCCGTATGTATAAAGCTTAGCCTCAGCCATCTCCAATGCAAACAGCACCTTTTTCAATAAACCAGATTTCCAGCCAACATTTTCTGGGCAGTAGGACAGAACGACAATGACAAGAACCCATTGCTGAAAAAGTTACCACTAGTTTCTTGTCAATTTTCTCCAAAACACTCCATGGAAAGAACAGCCAGCTTTCCCACACAAGCTTGGCTTTCGTCTCTTAAATTCACCCTGGGGTGATTAGAGAGCAAACAGTTGTTGAAGTCACTCCCCGGACGACTGCGTTATGCAGATGATGAGATTTCAGTCAGCTCCAGCTGTCTGTGGTAGTACTGTAAGGTCATGTGAGGGTGTTGAATCATGGAGCGCGTCACATGAACAGAGCCTCACAGAAAACAGCAGCTACTGTGAGCTTACTCTTACAGAGCAAGGTTAATCTCAGCCTTTAGCTACAAGTATTCCAGTAGGCAGCCTTCACAAACAGTGGGGGGATTAATGGAATGGCTTAAAAAAAGAAAATAAAAAAGATAAAGGTCACCGCAGCTCTGTACATACACCCCCTCCATGTATCTCAACAAAACTAAATGCAGACTCTCTAAGACTAAAATTCATTAAAAATGGCAAAAAGTAGCCTAATAAAGACGTTTGTCTCTGAATGCACAATGCAAGGCATTGTTTTCATCAAATCACTATTGATGGAGTGAGGGTTAGATAAAGAATAGTCATAGCTTTGTGGCAAAGTTACTTCACCGAATATGAAAAAAAATAAATCAAAAAGGCCATGCAAAAGTCAATTTGCCAACTAGTAATACATGGCCGCAAGTAAGAAGAGAAGAGAATTTAGTCAGATGGAACCAATAAAGCTTTCTTGCCATAGACATTGGTTTCCATAGGAACACATCTGTACCCAGATTTTGGACCCCCTTACCTGTCCCTACAGATAATACGACGTGACCTGCCAATACTAAATGTATAATTTACAACACAACACTGTTGCTGCAGTCGCTTCTACCTTGCTGCCTGCCCAGTGTTTCCGTCCCTTTAAATCAGCAGCGCACAGGATTGTGCTGTGTCTGCAATGGTTAGATGACATAAAATACACTGAATACAGTGTTTATAGCCCAATTTGAATTTATGGAAATTAAGTGAGGTTCAAGTTTATTAGAGTTAATATTTCAGATGCTGTTAGTGTCAGTTAGACTTCTAGTTCCATTGCTTATGTACATACAATGGATGTATTTGCATTCGCTTAAGTGTATTACTGTTGTGTTTCATGATACGGAGAGAGTATGTTTGCGGGGTTTAGTTGAATGCATTTCTTTTTGTAAGAAATTACAAAAAAAATCCACAAACAGACATATTTTGACTGTATTTTGTTAAATAGTCCATCTCTGTTGTTGGTAGATTTAAATGCAAACCTTTTAAAAGTGGAAAAAAGTCGAAATTTGATCTTCCTCAGCAATGGTAATGCTTTAAACACCGACAAACGACATGTAGGGACTATACAATTTCTAGAAATGTGGGAAAAATTTCTGCTTTTCAATTAAGAGCAGACAAAATACTCCTTGACTCTCTAGTCAAGCATAAAAAATATAGGAGCAGGAAAACTGCTTTACCCACATTCTGCACTTACCCAGAATGCACTTTCCTGCCCAGTGAAACGTATTGGTGGAAGCATCACGCTTTGGGAACGCTCTTGTTATTAGCAGAAAACCTGCTCAATGGAACAAGCTAAAGGTGAGCTAAAGGGTACCTAAAATGCAATACGAACCTAAACATCTAATTAGCTCAAAAAAAAAAGGAATAAAGGATGATCAGAAATTCCCATCTCCAGTGAAAAAAAAGTATAAACATCCCAAAAACCTTGAAGCACTGATCAAAGCACAGAAATGCTTTTAATACTTTTCAGATTTCTTAAAAAAATTAATAAAAATACATTCTGTAAAAAAAAATCTATCATTTTCTGCAAGGTTGGTGACCTATGCAGGGGGGAACCACTGCAGATGGGCAGCAGCACCCAGGATGCTGCACAGATAAACACATAGACAAAAGTAACCATTTTTCTCCCACCACACAGTTCCACAAATGATATACATTTAATAGCTGCAACGTGAGAAAATGCAAAAAAAAAATTTAAGAGTAATGGAAACTTTAGCAAAAAGCTGTTATTTGTTTTCATGGAAACAATCCAGTGCATTATACACATACAAGTCATCACCCCCTGCATGAACTGTCAGGATTAACCATAAAAACCCAGCGACTCCACGTTGTTGCCTTCCAAAAAGATTGTGGTCAGGAAATTGCTAATAGATAACCCAGAGAAGCAGATGTATTGCTTTGGAATATTGGAACATCTACCAAGCCTTTTTTATTTAATCACATTGTTAGCTTTATTTGACACACAATGTGCCTGTGGTAGAGACGGGACAGGACTCAAAGACCACAGCTTACCCTCGCTCCACCAGGAATGTATCTCTCCAAGCTTTGGGTTTCCGGTTTGGTTTAAATCTGTTAAAAAGAAGTAGATAAAAGTTAACAGACAGTTTTTTTTGTTGTTGTTTTTTTTTTTTAAATATTCATCAGCAGCAGCCATTTGAACACATAGCTAAGCAGGATTTTGTGAAAGCTGAACCGCGCAGGCTTTTGGGGGTTAATTCTCTCAAGTTTTCTGCATTTCTTGAAGCCATTTGGTGCAGTTCTATCAACAAAAGAGGCTTTGTACTGGACAGCTATTTTCGCCCTAATATTGCATGCTGTTAGTACCGTGGATTTTGAAGAGAAACACATAATTGAGTTTGCAAACAAATTCTGAAGAAATCTTAAACTGAGACCACAGCGGCTTGGAAAGAAAAATCCCTTAGGCAAGAAAAAAGCAAAAACAAACAAACAAAAATCCTCCAAATTGTTAGCTTTTGTGTTCAGCCACAGCTAATGCAGTCATCCATGCTGCGAAAATTTACATTTAGTAGGTAATGACCGATGAAGAGAATAGCTACGTAGATCATGCAAACTGTATATCTGCCTTTTAAACGGCCATTACAGCACGGCATGATTGATGCGTACAAACCTGTTGCCAGTCCGCTCCTGTTCCAGCAATTTAAGAATGGACTTTCCATCCATGTCTGGGGGGGTGTCGAGGCCAGCAATGTGAAGAATAGTGGGAGCTAGGTCGATATTCAGGACCACATGTGGGTTTCTGAACCAGTACGTAAACACAGAGTTTACAGTATTAGAGCAACAGTTTCTGAAACCAAAATATCTTGAGGTTTAAAGAAAAAGAGAAAAACCGTGGTACTCACATGGCCCCTGGATCCACATTTGGTCCTCTTAGGAAGAATGGCACCCGGATATCAAAATCATACGGCATTGATTTTCCCTTGACTAACCCAAACTGACCAATATGGTAGCCGTGGTCTGCTGTGTAGATTATATAGGTGTTCTCCAGTTCTCCGGTTTCCTCCAGCATTTCATAAATCTGTAAAGAAGAGATGGTGAGAGGAAGCCATGTTTCTGACGAACGGTTAAGAATCACACTCACCTTCTGGACAGAGTCGTCCACAGACAGAAGTGTCTGCAACCTTTTCCGATGCAGAAAGTTTGTGAACTCCATGTGGATCGGTTTCATGGGCCCTGTGTACTGCATGATCCAATGTTTGTCCATATTTGGGGCGTAGTTATAGCTGGGGGTACTGGGAGAACACACAAGAGAATTTTTTTTACAAAGAATACCGTGTAAATAACCAACTACCACCTTACATTAAAAATTAAGCAGGTATCGACACAGGACCAGTAAGGGAATATTTAGTGATGCCAACAAACACCTGTCTGCAGCTTTTCACACACTCCTGTTAAGCAACAGGTGCCACAGTCGTCCACTGTGTCGACACGCATGGGTTGACACGCTGTTTGTTGACGGAAATGTCTTCGCACTTCTGCAGCCTTCACCATCCCAGTTTTTCCACACCCTCCTATGAACATCTCTCCTCTCACACAGAGACGATAGTCTCCTTACTCCACTGCGCTCTTGGCACAGATGGGTCATTTGAGGGCTGGCACATGCTTATGAAAATAATAGGCCCCAAAGTCAAGTTTACAACAAGTTCTGGAGCAAGAACTCCATAAGTCAAGGCCATTTGAAGGGGCAGTGCATAACAGGATGGGATAAAAAGCAAAGAGTGAGCGTTGCTAAGATTTATTTAGTAAAAGATGCAAATATTTGTTATGGGTTAAGCATTAAGTTAGGAAGAAAGAATGATAAAGCACATCGATATAAGCGGATGCATAAAAAGAAACCTTAAAGTACAGTCTACTGTTTGATTAATTTGTTCTACTTTTGTATGTTTTCACCTCTGAAGTATCAATCCTGAATATAAAATCTCTTATACTTAATGAAGCTCAGTTATGAGGGCCCCCATGCTCTCACTGGCTGAGCTGCTTTCTGTCCTCCTCTCCTTGGGCCTGCTTTGTGAGATGGGTGAACTCTTCACCCACTTAGCAGGCAGTATAATAAGCCCCACAAAGAGGCTTGTCTCTGGGCAATGGGCCACCAAGGTATGGGGCCCTGAGCACCAGGGAACCAGGAATGCAGAGGTCAGTGGATTGAAGTAAATCTGCAGGGGAGGTCACACCTGCCACCAAAGGCACATAAATACAGTGCCTTGCTCATAGGTTATCGCATTTCATTACATTACTACCACACACTTTCATATGTCTTAATTGGATTTTATTTGATGGATCAAGAAAATTACTTATAACTTTGTAGTTGAAAGAATTTAACTACACAGATTTAAATTAATTTACAAGTAATCTAGTGTCTAAAATATTGGTATTCAGCTCATTTACCATCACTTTACAGTATGATAGCACCTCTGTCATCTAATAAATAGATACAGTTTACCAGTTTGAAACAGGATAAAACACATCAGATAAAAAGCTAAATAAAGGGCAAAACAGGATGAAAATCTGTTGAAGGCCAAAAAATTAATTAAAATTTGAGTTTATAGTAGAGATTCCCTTCCTAGCAGGAAATACCTCCCAATAATACAGCCAGAGCTACAATGGAGTAGAAGTATTTTCATGTGTTACAAAGATCCAGATCAAAATGCAAAGCATAATCTGTGCTGAAACGTAAATATTGATCCCATGTTTTCTCCATTGAATATGATTGAGGTTGTATCAATTTTGTGAAAATAAATTAGCACAAAATGTGTGTTTTAATCCAGAAAGATATGATGCTGTTAATTGACATAAATGTTGTTCTACAATGAGCTGAGTCATGAATGGTGAATAAAAAAACTGATAAAATCATTTCCAATTTCATAAGGAAAAACAAACAACAAAAAATGTTTTTGCTCTTTTTGCACCTCAGAATTAGATATTTGTTTATCAAACATAATTCCAATAAAATCCAATGAAATGTATGGGTATAATGTGGCTGAAATGGATTTAGGGGTGTAAATTCATATAAAATACGGTGGGCCAATTTTGTGGAAAAACTAAATTGTACACATCCAACAAGAAGATTGGGGCCGTCTTAGTAGAGCAATTTGTTCTATGATTAAATTTTCTGTCCCTCCCTGCCATTACAAAACGTGCAATTCAGAAACCACATTACATGTCTTGTATTTAAATGGGTCTCAACTTGGCTACATCTAAAGAATTAGGCAACAACACCTTAAGTGAGGAATGTTAATAACATTAACGTTGAACCCTCCACTACTATTGCAGCTGTCAGAAGTACAGACACTAGTTTGATTTACGAGGCAGTTCCTCCTTTACTGCCACGCAGTCTGTTCCCAACCGTGAGATCAAAACACATTGGCTGGATCATGCATCTGCTGCAAGCATTAAATACCTCTGCATTTGTGGAGAGGGGCATGATTCCTTTAAGGCAAACCGAACTGGAACGATGTCAAAAATTATTATTTTTGTTCAAAAGAATTCCCAAGAATGGAAAGAATGATTTGCCTCGTCTAATGAAAACAGAAAGTCAACAAACACCCACCCCACGTAAACCACCTGTGGTCTCCATAGCAACCTTACCACATACACAACACCTACACACAATCACTGGGACAACCTTTTCAGTCACCCGTGACCCCTGAGCTCCACCCCATCACAAGGAGGCACCCGCTAAAAATAAATTAATGCGGTCACAAAGGGTGTTCCGAAGCACACAATGCATTCCTTACATCCCAGGAGCTACGGGAAGAGACGACTGATTGATATGGACAAGGTCAGGAAGTTCTTTTGGGATAACCGTGGGGGTAGACAACAAGATGACAAGGGGTGGAAATATGGAGAGAGAGGTAAACAGAGTGACACACACACAGAGATATCTGTGGCAAGATAAATGTGGGTAAAGTAGGAACACAAAGTGAGAGTAAGGCAAACAGAGAGGAGAAAGAAAGGGACAGGAAATTGTATTAATCTTCAGGAAATTTAGATCTTCCAACTTTAAAAAGGTAGGCCAAAGGGCCACTGAGACAGGGATCATTGCATAGCCTGGACTAAACCAAGGAGTTGCTGACTTGGCACGAACATGGTGTCCCTGATCTGCTCCACTGGTATTCCCCACTGGTGTTCTCCAGTGATAAATCATTTTGATTTCAAGCCTTCCACATCTCCACTTGTGAGACTTCCAAAGCAACCTGTCATCTCCGATAGATTGAAGGCTCTCCTGCCGTCATAATGGCAGACATAGCTCATTATGTAAAATAGCCACAAGGTGTTAAAGAGAAAACTCTGAGAGGCAATTAGGCAAACATGATGCTGCAGACATCACGGAATCCCATCTATATCTGAGGAAACACTGCTATAAAATTCCTACCACCCACATAATTGCTTATTTTTATCTCCACTTGGAAATAAATACACTCATCTGATCAGGAACATTTCCAAGATAGGTAGAAATACCCCACCCACCTCAACAGTGTTGACATAAACAAAAATGAAAACACAAAAAAGGAACATGGTTGGCATGGCAAAATGTTCTACAGACAGTATGCTGATTAAAGCCTTTTTTTCTTGAGTTTGCTTCTATATAAGTGACAACAATCATCTCATGTTTCAGGTAAGACTGTTAGTTGCAATTTTCTGATCAAGCAGTTGACAACCATAGGTGCAGTAAATATTTACACAAATATACTTAGTTTATTTGCCCTCTATAATAAACCATCTAATGATTTGGGAAATTGCTTAATTCAAATTGAATTATTTATTCCACTATTTAATGATAGAGGACAGTTTTCATGATTTTAAGTGGAGCCCAAACACCATCAAGCCTTTGGAAACTCCATACTGATCCTTCTTTGGTCTCAACTGTGACATTACAATTAGGTTTAAACAATTACAATCCATGTTTAATCAAACATTGTTTATTATTTACTTTAGGTCATTAACGTTCTCTGCATGTGTTGAAAGTTAAATAGCAACAGAGTCCAGACAAAGTAAGAGTAGAAGAAAAGCACTGAAAACAATTGCAACTGATGTTGTGGTGTCATGCATAGAAAGGAAAATGTAAAATTAGACCAATGTATCATCATTTCTCAAAACCCCTGCCAATTATTTAAAAAAAGAAGACATCTACTTTAAAAACTGAGCTATTTAACCCACTAAAAAAAAGAGGTCCCAATGCATTAGAACGTTTGCTAAAATATCTGTTAGGGTGGACTGGGCTTTTAAAGAGCTTTGATTAATCAGAGTTTTGAGAAATAAGATCTGAAGTGGCCTTGTTTAGTGCAGTAATTGATATACGAGGGTAAGCATTACTTACATGTGCTGTGAAGCATTGGAGAAAAGCTCAGCATATTGTGGGGCTGAGTCTTCTGGACCATGAGGTGCAGCATGGCTGATGACCATCATCACGGGACGATGGGGGTATACCTTCTTCGACATGCGGAAAAAGCTGATGCTGTCATTGGTGATCAGATCTGTGAAATAATCCTTGAAAAAAAAGAAAAGCCAGTAAGGTTACCAGGTGCAACAAGGATAGAAGCATATTCTAGAAAATAAAGGGGGGGATTGATGCAAAATTCTAAACAGCACAAGCTTTTATAAATCTCATTTGCAGTTCAATCAACATGACATGTTGCTTTTCCTGGTCCAGTCACTTTCAAATAAATTAAAAGGAGGCAGTAGGGATATGAAGTGGGGCCATTGAGTGCAGTACAGCACCAATCTGTCGAGTCAACAGCTGGCAGCCTGCCTGTGTGTGTGTAAATGAGTAAGTATGTGGGCTGGAGTCTGTGTGAGCATGTGTACACTGCATACGGGCCGCTGCCTCATCAGTGAATCTCTGCGCTATCAAATGTGACACCACTTGATGGTGAGCGAAGCTTGGTGCTTTTCAATGGTATGTTGTTATGACAGCTACCACCCTCCATTCCACTCTGGGCTTTTCATTCTGCTTCTACTTAGGTTGTTTTTGCTCCATCCAGTTCACTTCTCCTTGCCTTTTAATTTCATTTTATTCCATTTCTATTTCAGTCATGCCTTTAAATGATTACCTGTGAAAATTCTTAAGAAACATCTATCATAGAGTTCTACATGTTTTTCATGTCAAAGTTCCATGCTTTTGTAGACACAACTACAAGTATCACAATGAATTTTGGAAAAAAAGATGGAGGGGGGTGGTGTTTGGGAGAGGTGATTATTTGAATGAAATTTCTATCCTTTTTTCAACTAAATAGGAACACCTACCTACACTTATAAAATGTGGTTAAGGACAACAACAAAAAAAAAGTAAATATATTGACAGAAGATGCTGAAAGAGAGGAAACGTACGTATTGAAGAGCTTCAAAATCTGAAATTGTAACACAAACAAGTCAAAGGTGTGCCATTTTACTAGAACCTTTATTCCAGTTAGGGTGGAGTCCAGTCTTATTTTTACCTCTACTTTCGGCAACACCCTGAGCTAAAATAAAATAGGATTAGCAGAGATTCCAATAGACAACTAACAGTCTTACCTGCAGTTTTGTCATGCTGCAGTTGTTGCCTAACATGGTTCCAAAAAAGGAGACCACTCAGCTAAGAAGAAAGATTAAAAGGAAATTTCCTTGACATGTCAGAAGTACCTTCTTTTCATTAGTCTAATTTTATAGTCAGTCCAGTGTTTAAATCCTGGCAGCTACACATGCCTATAGAGGATGATGATTAGATGCACATGGAATAAGCATTGCCATTGCCCTTCAACACTGCCAAATACTAGAATCTGAGCCCTTGGTGCTAAAGGGCTCGAGCAGGTCAACAGGAAGTGAGGGTGTCATGAAGAAGGCCTAGCCAAGAGCAATAAAATAGTCACACGGGTGTTGATTATCCCTCTTCCCATTTGGGGCTGGCAGTCACATAGAAGGAATTTGTTAGCAGTACTCCTCGGTACCAACCAGGACAATCAATGCAGGAGAGTGTTATTGCACAAAATTTTACAAGATTTGCACAGGAGGGGTACAAAGCAAGACTTGTGTAAGCCCTTATGAGATCAGCGTGCCACATCTGGCTGGGGAGCCCGTCTGTTTTTATGGCTGTTGTTCCACTATCATGAAATCTGAATAAAAGAAATCCACAGGAAACATTGACAAAGCAAACATTCCCACCAGGACAGCTCAACTTAAATGAACTCCTTTTCCAAGAGGCAGAAACTCAGATGGGGTGTAAATGATTCAAACTACCAAGGATGAACATGCAGTGAGTCACCTTTATAGGCGAGCCATCCTGTTTTGATTCCCTCAATGCCCTAAAAAGAGAAGCGTTGCCAGGTTGTGGGTGTGAGCAGTAAATCCCAAATATGAAGTCCATTTGGTTCTAAACCACAAACTGATGACCATATAAATGTTATGTAAACTCAATGGTTTCTGTTTTACACCTAGGTCAAAAAGTTGGCTGAGGAATGGCAGTTCAAATACTGACCTACCCATCCTTTTTTGTTTATCAGGAACTATTCAACGTAAGTACATAGTAGTGTGGATGTGTGAAAACAAACTGAAAGCTCCTAGAACATTTTTACGGGGGTTGCAGGAGGCAGTTGGGACATTAACCACAGCTTTTCCTGTGACCAAACGCTATTAAATTGAAAATTCCTTACTTTAGTATTTTCCTGTAATGTAATTTTGCAAACGGCACAATAGGAAACAGTGAAAAAAGATTAAAAAAAAAGAAGAAACAAAGCTCTGACCAAAGAGGTAGTAATTGCAAGCAATTTTGTCTATTTGTCAAACTGTTTTACACTGTCTACAAATTAAGAAAAGGTGCATCATGTTAAAGGCATACCACAGAAAGATGAGACACCAACTCATCCATTCTAATTCCCTATAATTCTTAACACAAAATTCCCTTGAGTCTGAAACACCACACATTATTAAGATCTTCACTGTATTTATAAGAGAGTAGAACCTAGAATTTGTCAAGTGAAGCCTTAATTCTAGGTCGTAAAGTGAACAGAAATTGGTGCAAAATTATGGGAGGACATACCTTGGCGTAGTCGGCACCATGTTTCTCCTTGATACCATTCCGACAGACAGTGTAATTATAGAAGCGGGAATTTTTAATCAATCCGACCCATTCACGCCACCCGGGTGGGATGTAGCTGCCGTTGTACTCGTTGAGGTATTTGCCAAAGAAGGCTGCATAGGGGTGGAACAGAGGAGAGAGTTGCTTTTTATTTTCCTTCAATTTCTTCAAAACAAGAACTAAACATCAGCTTGAAAACAACAAGTTGTGTTGCAGCCAGTCAATGGGAGGGCAATAAGCTGCCTACATCAATACGACCCCTCTTTAAAATGAATAATTTGATGAGAAAACTGCTGACTAGCTTTTCTAAAGTATCAAATCAGAATTAAGGCCAAATCCATTGTATTTAAGACCAAGCTGGGCTCCTAAGAAAATGTTGCAGTTCATTCCCATTGAGTCACCCCCAGCATTGGCATACATGCATTAAAATATATTCTGTTAGTACTTAAACAATATGGAATCTTGTTTTACCCGCACGTTTACCCTCCTACAAAAGGTAGGACATACTTTGATTTCAACACAAGTTAAGCCTTTGCCTAAAAAAAATATATTTATATTTTTATACTTTAAATTGACTATTCATTTCGCAGGAGACTGTTTTGGCTCCTGCAGCTTCCCATTTGTCTGTTGAACTATCAAGTATGTTATTAGAGAGCGGTCAGTGGTGAGCAGAGCTGCACAGAGAGCAGCTTAAACACTTACCAATAACATTTATGAGATTCAAACAATAATAAAATAAGAACCATAAAAACTAAACAATATCCAAAATTTAAGGGAATCAGAATCCAGGAGTACCAACCTGTCCTGTAGCCTGTGTTGTTAAGGTAGACTGCAAAGGAGCGGGGCTCATGCTGTGCTTGCCAAGATGGAGAGGAGCAGTTTTCATTGTTGGTGTAGGTGTTATGGTTATGGACATACTTTCCCGTCAGCATGGATGACCGTGATGGGCAACACATTGGCGTGGTGACAAAGGCATTGATAAAACTCATGCCGCCTTCTTCCATTATCTTTCTGGTTTTATTCATTACCTGCATGGAGCCTGAAAGGGAAAAACACAGTTTAGCATTTATTTCCCTTTTACAATTAGAGTTTAATTTACCATGTAGCATACTCCTTTGTGGCTAAGGTTTTTTGGGGTAAAAGTAATTAAAATTCAGTAAATTGAAAACCAGATGGCCATTCCCTGCTGGGTTATAGTTTGTGTTTAATATTTAATGTTAAGTGTGAGGCCATATGAATCTTGAGGGCAGCTAGCCATAAATAACAGCCAGACAGCAGTGAAAGATCAAATATGTTAAAATGATCTATTGACAGCTAAGAGGGGAAATCTATGTAATTTTGCAAACATTGCTTACCCAACTCAACATCCTGGTCATCGGTCATGATGAGGATGATGTTGGGCCGGATATTTCGGCGGTCCCGTTGCATGCGACCCCTAAGCCCCTGAGCCTTCGTGGTGGTAAAGGCCCAGGTGCCTGGAATCAAGTCTATAGACAGTAGAACCATCCAGGAAACCCAGTGAATCAGCATGGTGACCAAGAGAATCAGGCAACTAAGATGACTTAATGGGAGGATCACTGGAGAGATGGGAGGAGGGAGAGGATGGACGAGGAATTTCTCTCACACCTTGGAAGATGTTGAGGGCCAAGTTGACTGAAAGAAAAAAAGGAAGCATGAAATATTAGTTTTAAAATAATCAAGGAAAAGATTGACAATCTTTAAGGCAAACTTAACAGTCTAGCCACAAAGTATGACTGATTCCTTGATGATGAGTTCTTGAAGGTCCAAATATGCTCCAGCAGTCCAAGAAAGCATACCAACCAGCTCAACTTAAACTACCTTTAAAGTGTGAAGGTCCAGACAAAAATGCCCAACAGAGATTCCCACTGAGTCCTATTTCTCTTTCTGAAAATATCCTTGAACGTGGTCACTCTCTTAAGACAACCTCGCTCACTGCAGAGCTGTTCTTCAACTAAATGCACAGAGATTACATGATTGGCTGGATGCCCTGGAGCACCCACAACTGTTGTTTAGTGGGAGCCAATCAAAGCCTACCTTCCACCTGTCACTCAACAGTTTGACTAACCATCCCTCAACATCCCCCACCACTTCTCCTGGTGAGTCAAGCATGACAGACTTTTAGTGGGGGGAGGAAGTTCTGGCACAGGAGGCGGAGTAGATGGTTCCACCACATTAACTCTAGTGGCTTTGTCGCCAATCACAGATGACCACCGAGTCATCAACACTCTCTTGATTGGTTCTAAAAACATCATGCTTGACCATAAACAACCATTCAGCCTGACTTAAAGAAGTAAAAATAATTGGAATAGAAAGCTTACATTTCTAGAAAATATCTAAATAAAAATAAATGAGTAAAACTGTATATAGAACATGTATGGCATACCAATCAGCCATAATCTGAATGATTTTTATAGTCCTTCCATGTTAATTTAGCCCTAACCCTAAAATCAGTGAGCTTCATGCCTAAAACCAAATAACTGATTTATATTGATGGTAATACAAAAAATAAATAAATAAATATTGATTGTGGCTGGGAAATGAAGCATGGCTCTGTAATAATGAGTTCACCATTACTGCTTGATGAGAAATCAATAGCAAGCAATACTATCGAGTTGGACCATGCTGTTCCCAATTATGAGTTAATAACCTGAAGACAAAGGGCAGGTCTGTGACGCCTGGACCAGCTCAGGACCTTATCCTCATTTATCCCTCACCATTCCATTCAAATGTATAAATGTCAGTGGTTTATAAAGGAAGGTTTTCCAAATCAATGGAATACAGGTAACATCTATTTTGCTGTAATTTGAACAATGTCTTAATTTCCTTTTCACCGTTGTTTTTTATTTTTTATTCTTTTAGCAAAGGTATATGCTGTCACAGAAAACAAATTTAATGTATCATTACTGTACAAAAGTGTGCAGGTGCATTGAAATTATGTCAGTAATTCAATTCAAAGTGAAATTATTTAGATTTATTCCACATAGATTCAAATGCCTTCCTGCCTTCGGTTGTTTCTCTCCAGTGTCACAATAATTGCTTTTGTCCACTGCTAGTATTAACCCAAAATCCCGTTTCTAAAAAAAACAAACAAGAAAAAGTAATACTGCAGCCTTGACAGGATTTAGAACCGAAGTTCATTCAGGGGTTTGGGAGATATTATAAAGTATAGACTACAGCTGTAGTCAGAGCACGCACGCGCACGCGCACACACACACACACACACACACACACACACACACACACACACACACACACACACACACCGGTATGTCTCTAGGACATGAGCTACTGAAGAAGCACATCATCTATAGAGCTTACAGTAAGTAAAGTTTCTGAAGTCAACATTTATTTGGGGATACATGTCTTATGATGGTGTTTGTCCACTGTGTGCTGTTGTCAAGGACAAATGCAATTCTGTCACTTCTCTGAAGAGTGAGATCATAGCTAAATTATTTAATTAAAACAGACCAGTAAAAATAGATTGGTAATAATTTTAAAATGTAAATCCCTTTATTGTCCCATAATGTTGAAATTCACTTTTTGCATTTAACCCATCCCCTTGGGGAGCAGATGGCTGCCATTGTGTGGCACCCGGGGAGCAGCGTGGGGTTAAGGGTTTTGCTCAGGAACCCAGAGGGAAGGCTGTGGGGATCGAACCGGATATTTGCAACCTTCTCAGATCACAAGCACACCGTTCTAACCACTAGGCAAAGACTTAAGTGAAAAGGCAAATATGAAAGGAACACTGCTACTATTTAGGCCTAGAGAAAGATTACAACAGTGTCTGGTTTCTAGTGAGCAGACAAATTAGGGATAACTTAAGACTTTTGCATCATACTACCTGTGCTAACAGGTTAAACCCAGATCATAAACACCCTTTGCCAAGTGATGCATCAAACAAATGTTTCTCACTAAAGACATGTATTACGTTTAAAAAACAAAACAAAACAAAAAAAAGTCTAAATAAGTGGGAAAAGTCATTTTCACTGACCTAGATCTGGTGTTGTTTATCTTTCACGTCTCTCATGAGATCTTCGACACGATAAGCCGAGTTTAAACAGTGTGTTACTGTTCTGATCTCTGTTTTAGATGAGCTGTGTCTGAGGGAGCCAGTTATCGTGACAGCTCTGTACAAACATTGGCGCCATTTGGCCAAACACACCCCCCCCAAAGTACAGGGTGGTGGAGCGGACACAACCTTACACAAACTAGTCCACAAACACATGCAGACACTAAAATGATATCCAGACAACAGTCCTTTTCCCACAAAAACAATATCCATTGCTGTTTGGGTCCAAGTCTTCCTACATTATATGAGAAACTTTCCCAGAAACAACAGACAACTCATCTCTGGAGAAAACTCAAGGCTGTGTTTTGGTTTAGGTTGTGGAAGGTCGGAAATGAGCTGTAAGCCAGCCAGCTAGTGTAATCCTAGCACACATCCCAAACCAGTTTTAAATTCAAGTGCTACAAAGCAATGGCTCATGCCACTCAAAAAGGGTCAGTTGAGCTTTCTGGTTGAAACGTGTGCTGCTGATGAGGTTAGTTACAAAGCAATCAATATCTCCATTGGTTGAAACTTAGATCCTGACATAGTAGAAAACAGGCAAATAACAGGATGAGGGCACAAAATCTAAAAGCAAAATTAGCTAATTTTTACATAATGAAATCAATTTTATCTTTTATTTAAAAAAATATTTCTAACAGCTGATATTCTTAGACAATTCCTGAGACTTGGAAAACAAATGTATTATCTGCCATGACTGCCAAGAACCTTCTCCAGGCTGATTACAAATTTCACTTGAACCAACTAATCCAAACAGCAGTGCAACAAGAGATGTGCTTTGGCAAAATCAAAGACACAAGGCAAGCAACTGTCCACTGTGGTTACATGCTCACCCAGGAGGAGTAAAATCTCAAGTTAATGAAATCTGTTGGGTTTCCTTAGATCCCTTAAACTTTGTCTTCACTCTTTGTCCATCCATCCGTCCATCCATCCATCCATCGATCCATCCTCTTTCTCTTATAAGGGGTCGGGTCGGGGGTAGCAGCTTCAGTAAGGAGGTCCAGACATCCATCTCCCCAGCCACTTGGGCCAGCTCCTCTGGGGGAACACCAAGGCATTCCCTGGCCAGTCAAAAGACATAGTCCTTCCTGCATGTCCTGTGTCCTACTCTGGGTCTCCTCCTAGTGGGAGGTGCCTGGAACACCTCACCAGGGAGGCGCCAGGAGGCATCGTAACCAGATGCCGGAGTCACCTCAAATGTCTCCTGAACCCCCCTGAGTAGACATCACTGGAGGACACCTGAACTTCAATGTCGTTGATCCGGTATTTGCTGGATTTTCTTAGAATAATTTTAAAATAAATTTCAGAAACTAGTCAGGTGCAAGGACCTGATAAAAGATAAGTGGAAAAAAGGGCTGAAGTCCAAAGAAATATTGGAAGTTCCTCATAAAACCTAAATATTCTCCAGTCAAATTTAGTATAAATGATTACATTGAAGTCAAACTCTTTAAAATCGTGTTAAACACAACTGTATGTATACAGGACTAACCTTTCCCAACTGGAAATCTAAACAAAAATGTTAGAAAACGGTGTGAATTACAAAAGTTATAAGAAGTTTGGTTCTAATTCATTCACATCTATTATGCTGCCAAACCTTTTTAAAGGCTGAAAAAAACTAAATATGACCTTATTTGTAAAGGAGTCATAAGTACATTATCTATGACCCAACAGACCAGGAGTCTTTATTGCTGCAGAGTGGTAGAAAACTAGAAACACATTTTCTCTGCTTTCTTAACATTTTAGAGGATTAGTGGTAATGACCCTTAAAATTAGACCTATTCTCTATTCCACATAGCTAGAATATGAGACGATGGATGGTCAGGGGTTCAAAGGCCTGAAACAACAAGGCCACTATGGGGTTTCAGGCACCCAGCTGCCTGATGCTAAAAATATGTGCAATTTTCAGATTAATGGCCATCAACACTAGGAGTTTTAGCACACCTCAACACCCATCTGATCCATTCTTTCATAATCGCTGCATTTCTTTCCTACTATACTATAGCAAAGAGGTCTCACTTTTAGATATTATAAAGCTGTGCTCTGTAATTTGCTATGCATAGGCAGACATCTGCACTTTTGCTTATTGATGAATTTTAAAAAGTCAAAACTTGTATAACCAAGCTGGGCCCCCAGTTTTTGTCAGGCTGGAAGTTGTGCCCTCCAGAAAGAGACTTAAACCACACACTCTGCTGCGCCCTGACCCTCTTCCAACCCCAGTGGCGAATTGGCTTTGATGGTGGCTTGTTTAACCTAACCTCAGCAACCAGAGGATAGCCACACACAGGGGTTAAAAGGGGAAAATGCAAGGGGTTCTGTATAGAGGTATTACGTCTTGTAAAATATCTGTCTGTGATTGGTCTGCACTTTTTTCCCCCAAGCAATGGAGAACAGGTGATGTCTGGCTTAGGTTCTAAACATACAGCCGTGACAGGCTGTACATTTATCAGCTGTCACTGAAAAACAGCAGAAGAAACATGAAAGAGTTCAAGTACAATGACACTGAACAACTGACACGCAGCATGTTTGTCCAATGGCTGATAATATATCTGTCCACAGAGGAGGACCC